GTTGTTGAGTTTTGAATTCTGACTACTACGCGTAAAATCAACCTAAGAGCAGATGAGAAAGTAGAATTATGCAAGATTCGAAGCCCTAACTTGCACCTTGATCCAATCTTTTCAAAACTTAAATTGTCAGGCAATCGACACATTAGAAACTTGCATCCGGAAAAAAGCTGATAATCTCTTTGAGTGAAGGTGCCGTGCTTCTACTTCGCGCTTCCATAAATAGGTAGCCGAGTAGCTTACATTCTAATGCTAATTATTATCAGCAAAACAGACATGATTTATTGGAGAAAATTTGTGTATATAAAAAGTGATTTGACAATTTGTATAAAAGTAATTACTCATTTACTGGAGCATCCTGAAATCTTACTTATTATAATGTACGGCCTGTTTGTTTGTTTGTATTTTTTTGGCTTTCCCATCAAGATTTGAAATATTGTTCGAATTTCATAAATTTAGGACAATTATAATGCCAATCTTTCTTTTTTGGTCATTTCGTTCCTTAAATATCAAAAGGATAACATAGATCGTGGGTATAGAGGTAAAGGCGGCGTTAACAACCAATTTTGAGGAAGGGCCTTTATTCTTTGAGCTTTAGCAACACAATCTACAACCAAGTTGGACTCTTGTGGGTAGTGGGCCAGCACAATAGATTTGGACAAGCCGAACTTTTCTTTGCACTCTTCCAAGATGGCCGACAGCTCCCATGGGCATTATTAGTCGAAGTGCAATCTTCCAAGATGACATGTAGATTGAATTCAATTCTTGTTGAAAGCACTCCAGAAGTAAAATTCTGAATGCACAGAGGCAATGTTGGGGGATGATCCCCTTAAGATCACTTGGACTGATTGAGATGCACAAAAACTGGCCTGAACACTATTTTAACACTAAAGCCGAAAAAGAAAACAAAAGGAAGAAGCTTCAACTACATTTTTCGGTCTTTTTACGGATGGTGGCGACAACGTAAAGAAAAATGAAAGATGGAAATAAAAACTGATTTGGGAAAATTTAGAAAGCTGTCAAAAAATTTACAAAGATTGGAGTAAGTTATCATATGGATTTGTAAGTTGGTTTCAAGTGCCAAGCCTTCCTGTAAACAGAGCACCAGGGCCAAAGGCCCATTCAAGTGAGACTGACAGCACTTTGCGTTAGTCCAAGAATCAAACGGAACCTTACAGCATCGGCAAAGCAGAACAATCAATGCCGTTTCTTCGTTAGATGGTTGTGTTGGTTGATCTTGCATGAACCGCGATGCAGTTAACAGAGTCTCGAGATAATTTTAGACAATACAAAATGGCTTGAAATTTGTGGACAGCAGCTAAGCCTATTGTAAGAACTCAACTTCAGCATGGAATGCAAGTAGAAATTTTGAGTTGGCAAGAATTGAGAGCTTGTAGCTCTTTGAGTAATATGCAGTTAATGGTTGACATCACAAGTTTGGATATGTAGAATAATAATACCTTTCATGCTGATATATCTTGACATCATCCTGGACATCCATTTGGTACTGGTTTTCTGATCTCCTCTTATAGTTGGTGTGTTACTTTTAGCCACAGATTGTTCCCAACATGCTTTTCCTTAGCAACACTTTCTGTGAGTTCCTCTCCATAGGACCAGCTCAGGCACGAATTGGCAAATAGTTGCTGTTTTGCTCGCTCATGCTTCTGATGACTCTGTTCATCTATTTTTTCCTAGAGTAAGATATTGTACTGATGGTCAATTCTCTGATCCACTGAGTAAAACCGCAGTTTCCTGTTCACATCTATGTCGGTACATGTTCTTACACTTAATGCTCCGAGTTGATGATTGTTCTTGTTTTTACCACCCCCGACCAGGAAACTTCAATAGGTTGCGCGATTAGTGAGCTGAATATTGATCTGTTACTGTACCTTGGTATGTAAATTTTCACCAAGTAAGCTGGCGGCTAGTTAGAAAACACGACATGCCTAAAGTTTTGAATCCGTTGAATTGTCAGAGGTGGTCATAGGTGATTCTCGTCTGCAGCAAAAAATGGAAGTATAGAAGTTTGGAATTGCAGCATTTTGGCATAATATTCGGTGCTCGATACGCAACTTGCCCTTGACAAAACAGAAAAAGCCAAACGCTACTTTGCTGTTGTTAAAAGGGATTTGTGAAAGCACAAGCATCCTGACTTCCTGCAAATTTTACTTGAGAGGATATGGCCTTGTGCTGGGTCTTTCTACAAATAAGAGGCCAGAGACTCTATACGAACACATAAGAGAATATGCAATGACCAAAGGGACTTTGGTGTTCAATGACCCACAATTAATAGATTCTTTTTTCAAGAAAAGAACATTTGCATATATTTTTGTTGACGGTAGAAACCACATATATGAGGATGGAGGGATTAAAGAAAAAACTAAAGTTTTTCTGACGATTTCTTTCCTGAAAATGACTGCGAAAATGACCGTTTTGGACTCTCTTAGAATCACAAGAACACAAGGGTACAAAAGCAATATTAGGAGATCTGTATCTCTAGCTCGAAAACAAAATTGTACCATCCACATGAATCATGAGCAGAATTTAAATGGTTGTGTGCATTAGTTTGCTTTGTAAGGTGAATCCAATGTGGAGTGACTTGACACCTCAGCGATGGTTACAGGTAGTAAAGCTAGACACAGTGGCTAGTTGAAGAGTCACATTCTTCAAAAAGTGACCTATAATCGCACGATAAATCATACAGACACTGATGGACCAGTCCAAAGAGGTGCCCAAATGAGATGGTAGAAGCTAGATGTCGTGTTCATATCACCAGTTATGGTTTAATTGAAGCCAATTGGATAGACCAAGAACTTGATTAGGACAACTCTTGATACTCTTTCACTCATGGTCCCACATTATTACTAATCCCTCTACTCAGACCACGCTCGAGATGAGGACTCGATATAAACACGCGAAAGATGATGGGCAAGGGGAAGAACACACATTTATATGTTTCTGACTGTATTTTTTATCTACATTATTTGGATCTGAGAACGCAGATACTTCATTGATTTACTTCACTTGCAGTAGTAAAGCGGGTTTTTGCCAGAAGTTGTTGATCACTACAAAAGGATTTTCTCACATTCGTAATTTGCATGTGGGGAAAATAATTCCAGCCTGAGTTTGATTAGCGAAGTACAGTTGATTAAAGTGTTTCTATACTTATGATGTGCCTCTATATGTTTTTTAGCAGCTGGCCATCCATCCCATTGAAAGATATAGCACAATTGGGCTTGTTTTTCAATGAAATGACGGAAGAGCAAATGCCTGGGGAGAGGAGATGATAAAATTGTTTGGTTGCGAGCTTGTGGACAAGCTGCGTTCTTCCTTATCTTCCTCAAAATCACTAGACGTCTGGAATTGTGTCAGCTTTGTAGTCACATAATTTGTTGTTTGTCCTTTCTTCAAATGCCGACAACGACAACGTGCCGTTTGGTTTTCAATGTGCTCATGCTTCATTTGTAGAATGAGTGATTTCATGTTCACTTTATTTAAAATAAATATCTCTCTTTCAAGATATGATTTCATTTCTTTCACCTAGAAACCTTCATTTGCTCGATAAAATTGGTGAAAAAGGAAACAGAAACATGCAGAAAGTCAAAGGGTTCTTTCAACGCATTTTGAATCTTGTTTGGGGAAGAGATCAGTTTTATTATTACCATCTTCTTGCAAAATGCATAGAGCTGGCCCAAAGAAGAAGCTTCAAGAAATCTTCTATAATTTGGCTTGTGGAAAACGGCCTATAGAAATAACAATTGACGTGTGGTCCAATCTTCATGACAGGACAAATATGTTTGGCAACTTGTGTCACCATTGTATTTATTGCATGCATCAACTGTTACCTTCAACTTGATGCTTTTCATGGTAAAGTGAACAAGCATATTCCAATTGGCCGAGAAAAGAACCAGAAAATGAAAACTTGAACGAGCATGAACATAACTTATCCTTAAAACTTCAGAAAGTTACTTGGTTCATTCTTTTATAGAGTCGATTGTGTTAGTTTAATTCTTGCAGTGTGTTGGTTCATGTGTTATCTTTTTCAACAAAGCAGAATGGAAAGGCAAGTTCTAACTCAAGGTTGGTTTGATGTTGCTTGCGTTTCTTTTATTTTCTTGAATCTTTTCCCTTTTTTCTATTCATCCTTCATCTAGACATACTTTGAAGAGAGGAATCCTGAAAACCGCCTGTTTTTCCTGCAATGAGAAAGTGGCTACTAAAAGAGCTGTACTTTTTTTGTTCAAAAATATTTTCCTAATTTTTCGAATTAAAAGAATATAACTCCAATCTACACACCGACTACATACATTATACCCTTCAATCTTATTCTTGAGGTTTCATACTGATAACTCACATAAAGAGCTAGCAAGCAAATACCGTGCATTTCACTCTAGAAGGAGTTCTCGCTAATTTGGCCATATGAAGCATGTTTACATTGGTTATCAATTCAATCCATGAGTTTGTTCTTTCATCAACAAGAAGCTAGATATCGAGTCTTAGTTTGTTTCGTTTTCCCAATCTTTTCCACACTCAACACAGCACTGATGATGTTGTTTCTTGTAATTCTACGCAAGGGAAATCTCAGGAAATTTCGTAGGAGACAATTTATTCCTTAGGTGTTTTTCAACATTCTATTGCTGTTAAAGCATGAAAACAATGTAAGGGACTACTAGATTCCAAAGAAGAAACTTCAAAGATTTGGATGAGCCTGGCAAGTAAACTATCTGTCATAGAAAGATGCCATTCTTCCTCTTTACCTAACTCTTTTGTGAATATCTTTGCTTTTCTATGTTTATACGTTGGTGTTGGTCAACTCTTCTTTCTCCAAATGAAGCAAACAAAAAGTTAAAGTTGCCATATGGGAAATAAGCTAGAATATCATCTTTAATCAATATCCCTATATGTGTGCTAGCTTTAGCACACTTGTCAGATGGAAAGAGGAAACAGCAAAAGGCAACATTCTTTAACAGTAATTTAATCTACTTATTATAAAGGTAATGGCATCATCATGATCAGTTGAACGACAACTGCAAATTTCCTTTTGAAGTGGATATAACAAAAAATTCTCTTCCAAACAGATGAACTGAAGCTAAAGCACTAGAAGCTAGCATTAATGGTAATGTCCACTCCTCTTCTCGAGCCTTAGGGAATAAAAAGACAAAAGGAAGAGTATCTATTATCTCTTTCCTAGTCTTACCAACAATTTGTCATGTAACAGCAAGAGGTCCCACAAAGAGAGGAGCTGCAAGAGACGGCTTGTTATGTTCCAAGGGCCTTGAAACAGCCAGTTTGAGCTCAAGATCAAGACCCGAATTAGGTGAAACGCCGATCGATTTTGGAGCATCGGATGGTTTTTGTGAGGAGCTGATCAATCCGCAGCTTGATGAACCAGTCATCATCCTCACACTTTCTTGATCATTAAGCTTGCCATCCTCCTTCGAGGAACCAAGTGCAGTTAAAAGCTGAGTGGTTCTGGCATCAAGAACTTGCAAATGAGACATCATTAAGTTTCCCATTTTGCAATTAGGAACTGAGTCACTCGGCTTGGCCGTCAAACTGCCTAAACGATTACCCGCTACGGTTTTGACATCAACCTATACAAAAAGAATTTATCAAACCGCGTCGAACTAATTGATGATAGCGACATGATAGTAATAGTTGATGGAAGCAATGATTTTTTACCATGTCGAAGAGGCTCGAGCGCCGCTTTTTCTTGTTGAAGCTCACTTGCCGGAGGAAATATTTCTGAGCATGACTTGCAACCTGGGCCGGGGTTCTCGTGGTCACATAGCTCCTGGAGATGCCCCTCCAATCACCCTTCCCAAGCTTCTCAAGCCCTACCAAGAAGGTCCTATGTTCCTCCTCTGTCCATGGAACTCCTGGTCATATACCCAACAAAAATTCAGATATTGAAAACTCTCAGCTTAACAAATGAAAGTTCCCAAAAAAAAAAAAGCAAAAGAAGCGCATTTAAACAAGTGTTTGTACAGTGTAAGGTTGATGAAAATATTTGTGGACAGAAAGAACTTAGGATAGAACAAACTTGGTCAAAACAACACAAGTAAAACAATAGACATAGTAATAAAACAAAAATGCTCATCTTAATCAGAGAACAGAAGTCATCTAAATTCAAATGAAACAAGCAAAATTTATGGTTCAATTTCAGCTGATAAACTTATTAGAACAGAGTCTTTTGCATCTCCAAAAGCTCACCCTTCTTCTTCTCTTGGGATCTACCCAATAGGCCATCCGACAGATAGCCAAGGGACGTTTTATCGGAGTTCTCGCCAATCGAGATTCGCGAGGAGGACGGAGAAGACGACGAGGCTGGTGATGAAGTGAAGGGCAAGCAATCCATGCTGAAGCTTTTCTTGATGGCAAGAGAAGATGAGGATGGGGAGATGTCAAGCTGGATTCCAAAGAGCCTGAGCCCAACACTATCGTAGCCAGCAGTTGCTGGTGATGAGTAAGTGATTGTGCAGGTCCTAGAATTGTGTCCTATGTTGCCACAATGTGAACACTTCCTGCCCATTTTTGCCCAGACCAAATTAGTCCCCCGAAGTCCCCCGAACACCAAACTCAGAGAGAGAGAGAGAGAGAGAGAGTTACTATATGTGTGTCTGGCTGGTATATATGAGAGAGAGAGAGAGAAGTTACTATGTGTGTCTGGCTGGTATATATGGTGGAAACTGGATGCACACCGAAGGAAGATGATTGGATGGACATAGTTTATTTGATGAAATGCTTTTCTTTTATCCCAACTTGAGTCGTGTATCATGATGACCAAAAGATAGATAAAATGACTAGTTAACTTCTTCTCATATCCTTCTGAGGAAAACTATATTTTATCCTTTTTTTTTCTCCACCTAAGTTAATAGTGCATACCAAGCAGTTGAGAATCTATAATAGGGTATACAAAAAAAAATTAATATGGTTGGTCTCTCAACTTTTTTCCCATGTTCAATTTTATTCATCAACTTTTTCCTCTTTAATTTTGTCCCTAAATTTTCGAAAAATCAGTTCTATGTAATCTTTTCATCAAGTTGTGTCACATGCATTTTCCTAACACGGACCACCATATCAACGTTTACCAGACCAAAATAATGACGTGGACTGTCGTGTTGTTTTTCCAAGTTGGCAAATCCTTTTTTTTTTTTTTGGAAGGGGGGGCTAGAACAATATTAGAGAGATATATGACGTGCAAGCCATATGTAAATCAAATATAACATCAACTTAACAAAACTATGATTATGTCAACTAACAATGCTGGAAATTTAAATGGAGGGATTACAGTAACTGGACTTTTCAAAGTTCAAAACTAGATTAAACGGAAAGAAAATTGAAGAAAAGTTTATGGGCCGCCAATATCATTATCTATAATAACAAATGACTACATAAATTCTATAGGATTTATTTCATCTATTACATCGACTATTAAAATATACTTTCCTATTGTCGCCGGATTTCGGGTTCGCGGATTTGGCTCCCGGAAAGCCCTAATTATCTTTTTTATTCATACATATTAGATTAAAGACATTTTTATGACTTGGTATTAGTGATGATGCCAGAAATTTATTTTAAATAGGATTGGACTTCATATTGTTTTCCATGGCAGCTCTGTCAACGTGAGAGTCTCAATATATATTTTTATGGTAGGTCAAGAATTGCAGACAATTAACAACTGTATTCTGACAAATGCTTTCTCTGATGTAAGAGAAAATAATTAAATACGATGAAATAAATATCTTGTAAAAAGGTTTAGAGGGAAGAGGTCAAACCAAAAATTGATGTAACCTAATTGAACCTCTCTTATGTCATAATTAGATTTTGAGTAGAATTATCTTGGGATTATACTAAATCGGACCCGATGTCGTAATAAAAGATTTATCTAATCGACCCCGCTTAGTTAGAAATATATTCGGATAATTTAGTGATTCGATCAGTTGCCTGCGATGTTAGAATTAGCTCGAGAAAAACATTATCTTTGACAAATGACACGCGACCTCGAATGGCATTTTCAACTAACAAGAGATAATGACATGGTCGGCCTAGGTTTATAATAAGGCTGTGTTTTCCGGTGTTCGGGGGCGGAAAATGTTTTCGGGAAAAATTTTTCCTTCCCCACCTCCTTCATTGTTTTGAGAAATGACAGCGAGGAAAATGTTTCCGTGGGAAGAAGTGGATCATTTTCAAAACAAGAGATAATACATTCCGTAATTTAAAAGACTAGGTTTATACTAAATGTAATTTGAAGTTTCGGGACGGCGATTACTTGTCCTTTTAATCAATCATATCATATATTACTGGATAAACTAGATTACACTGCACCTCATCAGTTGAATTCTTTATGAGCAAATTCCATGTGACAAAAGCACCTAAATAGTAAGGCCAACCCAAAATGCTATTCTAGTAAAAAATTAATTTTTGGGATAATTGCCAATAATGTAAAGCAGGGCCGACATAAAGAAAGGGGGGACTAGAATATTCTCTTTGCTACACAAGCAAGCAAGACAATAATAATAATAATTGACTAAAACTCGAAAGACACAGGCTAATTGCATAATTAACACATATCTTCTCCAACAAGATTTGGTCTTGCCTTGATATTACTTTGTTAAGTAGAGGCAACTTGCACGTAATTAAGGTTTGATTAAGTTTAATTAATCAAACATTTGATCATGGAAGGCAAGTTGAGGATAATTTTAGTTTATCCCATGTTTGAAGCAGGAATCAACTCTATTCTCTTTGGATTTATCTATGTTGCAGGCTTCTTGATTATTATAAAAAGCTAGCTCTATCCTAGTTTGACTAAGAATAAAATAAATCAAGGGGAAGTTTTGGCATATGAGTACAATAGCAGACAACAGAATTGGGCAATTCTTTAGATGTGGTATTTTTTTTTTTTAGTATTATTTTAGTGTAGGTAGCAGCAGGCCAATGAAGACACCATGTCCATCAGTGATTTTGGATGAGGAATCTGCAATGGAATCTCTCTCACATTTATCAGAATTGAGGATTGAAGGAAACAAGAATGAAGTGCCATTTAAATGCATTAGAGGCCATTCTTTTGGAGCCGCCCCGATGACCATCTCTTGCGAGATCGAGAATTACTTGTGGGATGGAGATTCACATGATCTAATCAGATGAGTCATGAAAAAGAATTTGATAAGTTACTTGGACGGGAAATTTACGTGGTTTATACTTGATTTTCATTTCTTTGTTTGGATTGACCGCGAATCTTCACCCCTAACCCGGGTTCGAGTTGGGATTCTTTTAAAGCATGTGCGCGTTAGGTAAGACACATTGTGCCTTGTTGCCACCATTAGAGCTGTATCCCATGATTATGCATAACCCTAATCACGAGTCAAGACTTAGCTTCAACTAAAACAAGATTGATGGGTTGTCAAAAAGATATATATTGGCACCAACGGGGAGTCAGAATATTCTCTCAAAGATGCATCCGACCATGCTCCCAATTCCAAGGGGTTGCAGAATTAACGTGAGGAGTAAGTTGATTGCAACTTCAGCCATTGACAAAACAGTCATTGGTCAAGAAACGAACACGAACTGACCCACTTGAGGATTGAAATGAAAACCTTAAAGAACACTCAAGACCACTTCAGAAGATTGCTGTTCAGCAAGAACCTTTGATTGATCAAAACTCAAAAGCATATAATGTGCACATGTACCCCTCTTTGTCCCATATGAGCAACTGCAATTTCAATGGAAATCACCTCAATATAATATGGACTGCCACTTGAGACCTAAAATAGGAGAAAAAAAAGATGAATGGGTGCGGCAGTTGCAATGTCTAATGGACATGCACTTTGTCACTTTCCTAAAACAACAACAAATCAAGAAAGAGAGTGAGAAAAGCGAGGAACTAATTGATTGCTTCCCAAGCTACCACAAAGGTAGAAATTTTTATAAGCTTTTTTTGCGCCAATAGCTTCGTCTTGTGGAGCAATCACGTCGCAACTTTCGAAAGATTTGACTTTAGTATCCTGCTGAAGAGAAGCATAGCATTCTTTCAAGTTTCAAAAGGTCAGAACTTAGTTTCTGCATAAAGAACTAGACGGTCTCTTTTAGCAGTTCAGAGTTCAGACATATTATACTACTCAAGGAAACACCATGCAAGGACAAGTTCAACTTCAACTTATGCCCTGTTTCTTTTTCTCCATAAGGCGAAGGAGCATGATCTGTCTAACAACACAATAAAATGATGCCATGATCTGGCACTGTATGCTCAGTTTATAGGAGAGTTACTTGGCGCAATGTTATGTATGCACCAGAGGCAGCATCATCCTCATGAAGACCAATTCAAGAAAAGCTACAATGATAATCTAAGATCTGTGAACTTCATACAGTCCATCTGATTACATGTACATATTGTGTGCACACACACCTATATAGGTTCATTCAATGTATTTACCAGACATCTTATTTAGCATCGTCCTCATAAGGACCAATTCAAGGAAGCTACAAAAATAAACAGAGATCTGTCGACTTCATACCGTCCCTCCATATGATTACATATACATATTGTGTGCGCACACACCTATATAGGTTTATTTGATAGTCCACAGTGTAATGCAGGTCCCCTTGGGTTTTTGATTTGATTATCACAGATTATTTTCTGGCCAACTGTATCCAAGGATTGGGTGATTATATCAAGTCAATAAACACAGGCATTCTATATTGAAATGTCCTTTTCTACTAAAAGGAAAAGCAATGACTACTTCAAGAAAAGCCGAATAATGCCCAGATATCTTGGTTAACTCTAGTGTCGATGTAGGCCGCATCGATTAAAATACAGAGTCAGAACAAGATATGAATATGTATAAACCACTGGAGAAAAGAAGCAAAAACAAAGAGCCAATGGGAATTTCTGGTCAAAGTCCGTATGGCTCTCCTTGATTTATAAATGCAACACTTCAGAGTACATATGTGCCAATTTCAATTCAATTCATGATATGGACAGACATCCAGAATTGAACTTGACTACCTCGAAAGAAAATCATGTCAAGTCGCTAATAGTCTTATACTATTATAGAAGAATCCGAGAAAATCTACCAGGATAAGTCAGTTGAGAAGTTCCCAGTGATTTTACCTGCGACACTCATGAAATTATTAAAAAAAAAATAGTGGCTTTATTGGACTTGAAAAAGTGGAAATCGGGGGACTGGTTCGACATGGACCACTTCACTGGTGTTTTGCTGTCCGTGTGCACTTTTAAATTATATATATACACAAACATAGAAGTGCATGATCAGCATATGTGTATTTTGTGAGCATCATATGCACACACACCCATGACAAAAAATTGAATTAAATTAAATTCCATTTAATTTAATTTCAGTCCGACTCAATTCGATTGCAAACATATTTGCAATATCGTCTCTTCCATACAACGTTATCCAAAATTGGTTATGGTGTGTGACATCCCTAGGTTCATCACTGAGCTGGTAGTAAGACTTGCACTAACACATTAGTACTCCCAAGAGAATTGATTGTCCCGATCAACCTCTAGGTTCTACAAGCCATGATTGACATCTATAATATGTCATGGCTACCTAGACAGTGTGAATGTTTTAAGAACATAATGAACCTGTCAGCTTTGGTTACGGTATAATTCAATCCCTCTGCCTTACTATGTCCCGATCGAACAAAGACCATGGAATATTTGTCAAGTCACTCGATCATATGCACAAATCTAATTGACATGCATTTTATATAAGACATGAACAGTTCATTCTCGGTTACAACCCCGGCCGAGGATTTCAATGCAGTGTCAAGATTAGATTGCATAGGACATCATTATTGTACCTTGCATATAACAAGGAGACAGATTCCATTTTGCGCACACGTGTAACTTCATATGTGAACGAACTATGGCCATCAAGTACAAAGACGAATCAACGAAGCGACAATATGCGCACCTGTGAACCATAGCCATCCAACATACAAGTCAACACTGTACCTCAGGTCTAAGGATTATTTACACAAGACCAGAGCACGAACGATTAGACATTGACCACGCTAAAAGTTTCCATGCTGCTAATCGTTCTATGCATGTCACGTTCAGTGAACTTATCTGATACAAGCACCTGTGTTCTAACTCGGGTATCGCAATATCCAATGACTCGTGACTCGTCATTCCCTTAAGTATCCAATACTTATTGGTGAAGTTACGAACACACCGGTATCAACAGGATCATTAATATCCACTCAATGATCCATCGACCGAGAACAATTTAAAGATTTAGTCTAACTGTGAACCTGTCACACATATTCTTAACGTCTCAAGAATAGGTCTAGTCACAACTGATCTTATGGAATCATTCATATATTTAAATAATTGGACAAATGAATGAATGCGTCCTTGCCATTAAATAAATAATGTAATTGAAAGTACAACTTAAATCCCTAACATGTAACTATTACATGGTAACTTTAGGGCATACATCTAACAATCTCCCATTTGCACTAAAGCCAATTTGTTTGGTACCTCAAACCCATCTTGTCAATGTGTCTTTCAAAAGAAGACTGAGGTAAGGCCTTAGTGAAGGGATCTGCCACGTTTTCCGCTGAGGCAATTTTCTGCAAGGCGATATCACCTCTCCCAACAATTTCTCTAATGAGATGGAAGCGTCTCTCAATGTGCTTGGACTTCTGGTGAGACCTTGGTTCCTTCGCTTGAGCTATTGTCCCATTGTTATCACAAAACATTGTAATTGGTTGCTCAATGGAAGCAATGACTCCAAGTTTAGAAATGAACTTCTTCATCCAAGCGGCTTCCTTTGCTGCTTCTGAAGCGGCTACATACTCTGCCTCAATGGTGGAGTCAGCAGTTATGCTCTGTTTGGAACTCTTCCAACTAACTGCGCCACCATTAAGTGTAAAGACAAACCCAGATGTAGACTTATAATCATTAGGATCCGATTGAAAATCGGAATCAGTATAAGCTTCAACTTTAAACTCTCCTTCTCCATATATCAAGAATAAATCCTTAGTCCTTCGCAAGTACTTAAGGATATTCTTGACTGCTATCCAGTGCTCTTCCCCTGGATCAGACTGATATCTGCTAGTAATACTTACAGCATGTGCAATATCAGGTCTCGTACATAGCATAGCATACATTATGCTTCCAATAGCAGATGCGTAAGGTATCTTTGCCATCCGCTCTCTTTCTTCAGGAGTGTTGGGACACATCTCCTTGGAAAGATGGATTCCATGCCTAAAAGGCAATAATCCTCTTTTGGAACATTGCATGTTAAAACGTGTTAACACTTTGTCTATGTACGTAGACTGTGAGAGACCAATCAATCGCCTCGATCTATCTCTATAGATCTTGATACCTAAAATATAGGTTGCCTCTCCTAAATCTTTCATGGAGAATTTTTATGACAAGAATAGTTTGATCGATGATATCATAGGTACATCGTTCCCGATCAAAAGTATATCATCGACGTACAAAACTAGAAATGCAATTGCACTCCCACTGACCTTCTTGTATACACAAGGTTCATCCGGGTTTTTGATGAAACCAAACGATATGACTACTTCATCAAAATAGATGTTCCAACTTCTGGAGGCTTGTTTGAGTCCATAAATGGATCTCTTAAGCTTACACACCTTTCGGCGTTCACCATTGGATTCAAAACCCCGTGGTTATTCCATATAGATGTCCTCCTCAAGAAAACCATTTAGAAAAGCTGTTTTGACATCCGTTTGGAATATCTCATAATCTAGGTGTGCAGCTATAGCCAACATAATCCGAATGGATTTTAGCATGGCTACAGGTGAGAAAGTTTCGTCATAATCGATTCCTTCTTTTTGACGGTATCCTTTCGCCACCAACCGTGCTTTGTAAGTTCCAACTTGACCCTCAGCATTCATCTTTCTCTTGAAAATCCATTTACAGCCAATTGGTACAATACCATCAGGCAGATCAACTAAGGTCCAAACTTCGTTGGAATACATTGAATCCATTTCGGATTTCATGGCTTCCAGCCATTTACCAGAATCGATGTCCGACATCGCCTCCTCATAGGTGTTTGGATCACCAGGTTGATCACCATCATTCACAATGAATAATGGTTCAATATGTTCAACCAAGTGTCTATAATGAGCAGGTGGACGAGACGTTCTCGCACTCCTCCTAAGAGGTTGTGTATCAGAAGCTCCCACTGAATCAGAGGTCGGTGTTTGAACTTGGTTATTTTGGTACTTCATTATTCTATTCTTGTAAGACTATTTTCCACCCAGCACCACCTTCTTGGACGAACTGATTCTCCAGAAAAGAAGCATGCCTGCTGACCGAAATTCTTAGGTCAGAGTGAAAATAGAAATAGTATCCAAGAGACTCCTTTGGATATCCAATAAAGCGACCTTGTTCAGACCTAACCTCCAATTTTTCCATTTTCAGCTTCTTGACGAAAGCTGGACAACCCCAAATCTTAATATGATTAAGACTTGGTTTCCTACTATGCCATATCTCATAAGGCGTAGTTGGAACAGATTTGGATGGCACTCTGTTCGGTACATATGCGGCTATCTCGAGGGCATATCCCCAAAGAGATATAGGCAAATCGGTGTAACTCATCATAGATCGCACCATATCTAATAAAGTGCGATTTCTTCTTTCAGATACACCATTGTGTTCTGGAGTTCCAGGAGGTGTCCACTGTGATATAATGCCATTATCCTTAAGATAGTCCAGGAATTCAGTACTAAGGTATTCACCTCCTCGATCAAATCGGAGAACCTTAATACATTTTCATGTTTGTTTCTCAACTTCAGCCCTGAATTCCTTGAACTTTTCAAAAGATTTGGATTTATACTTCATTAAGTACAAATAACTATACCGTGACTGATCATCGGTGAATGTAATGAAGTAAGAATAACCACCTCTAGCATTTTCATTTATTGGTCCACATACATCTGTATGTATCAATCCCAGTATGTCAACAGCTCGTGCACTATGTCCCACAAAGAGCGGTTTGGTCATTTTTCCTAGAAGACATGCCTCACAAGCCGAGTATGGCTCAAACATTGATGAATCAATATACCCATCATTACTCAACTTGTTGATTCTGTCTTCTCCAATATGACCTAACCGAAGATGCCAAACATACTTTGGGTTTGGACTATCTCTAGGGCGTTTATTAGTTATGGCATTTATATCATTATTGTATTGCTTATTGGTATTGGTAATCGCATTACCGGACATTGTAATGGTAGAAAGATTATTGGTTAATAAGCCAGAACCAACACATCTCCTATTGTGATAAATAGAACATACATCATCAGCAAAAGAAAATTCATAATTCTCTTTACTCAAACGAGGTATAGAGATGATGTTCCTAACATCATTCTCATAATGCAAGCAATTTTTCAATACCAATACATGTCCAGAAGGCAAACATAAATGAAAAGTCCCTACAGCTAACGCAGCAACTCTTGCTCCATTTGCAAATGTTAGGACAATTTCATTTCATCCCAGCATCCTGCTTATATCCAGATTCTGCAAAGACATGCAAATATGTGAGGTTGCAGCAGAATCTAGAACCCATAAGTTGGATTCAACACTAACCATAAGATTAGTTTCAATAAGTATAGACACCATACCTTCGCAAGGTTGGTCCTTAGGCTTGACCTTCAAGCTCGCAAGGTACTTCTGCAGTTCCTCCTCCAAGTGCCCTTTGACACCACAAGAGTGATAATTCCCTTTTTCAACCTTGGGCTTTGATTGCACAGCATGTTTCATAGGCCTCTTCCATTTCTTTTTCTTCAAAACAGTCTTACTCTTTGAAGAAGAAGCCGTAGCCATAGCCACCACATTGGGCCTCGTGTTGTGCATTTCCTTCTCATAAACTACTAGCATGCTATGTAACTCAGCGAGAGTTTTCTCCATCTTATGCATGTGGAAGTTTTGGACAAAGCCAGAGAAGGAATCGGGCAAAGATTGGAGAATCAAATCCACAACTAACTCATTATCCATAACAAGATTAAGCCTAGCCAACTCTTCTATGTGCCAGATCATCTTCAAAGCATGATCATTCACCGATGATCCTTCAGCCATTCTCATACGGTACAATGCCTTAGATATCTCATATCTAGAAGTTCGACCATTCTCATCAAAATATTCTTTTAAGTGCAAGATGATCGACCTAGCATCTTCCATAGTTTCATACTTCTTCTGCAATTCATTGTTCATTGAAGCAAGCATGTATGACCTAACTTTTAAGTCATCATCACGCCACTTATCATAAGTGACATGCTCCTCTTGGGTCCTACCCTCAGGAAAGGAGTCTGGCATCTTTTGATCAAGCACATACTCGATTTTCTCCGAATTGAGAACAATTCTCAAATTCCTCACCCAGTCAGTGAAATTGGGTCCAATCAAACAATTCTTGTCAAGTATAGAAGCAAGTAGGTTTGTGGTCACCATTTTCAGAGTAATAATATATCTGTGCAGAAAATAAATTGTTAGCCGTTGTCTTTCAAAATAACCATTTCATTTTGGCCTTTAAATGAAATAGTGCCTCCCACTAAATTTTTCGAATCCCATACTCCTTAAAATGGGAAAACGGTAATCTTTGTTGGGTAAAGATTACTAGTGGAGATTGGAGTCCCACTAGCCCATAGCCCGCTCTATGAACTTAGTGAGTGAACCAACTTGTTCAACACATCATATACGAGTCCCAATCATAACTTCGGCCTCTAGACCATGAAAATCTCACCTGACAGTTATTGACATCATGATCATAGTTAAGTCTAGCCCATCATCTCATGCAAGTATTGAAAACACAAACGATCCCCTCACCTGACATTTATTAGAAATCGTTCGGCTCCAACCCCACAACATCATATGCATAATGGAGTGATCCAATATTATAAATGGCAATTGACCCCTATGTATCCATAGCCGGTCAATCAACCACTATAATGTTGGACCAAACCACGACAATGGAAGGCCACGAGTCCAAAACCCGTTTCGACTTAATATAATTAATAAGGAGGTTTGGGTCATTATTAATGGTCTCACTTTGCACATTAACCGGTTTAACATGCATAACAACTGAATAAATAAATATATATCAAAGGCATAAAAATCTATCTACGTGGTGATCATGGAATTATGGCTCAATGGGTCTCAAGCCAATGAGTCCCATTTAGTCATTTTAATGTTTTAATAATAGAGATCCGCTCTTCACTTCTTCTTGGACCCTTGAACTCTTCACGGACCAGGCCCATAGAGCTCTCCGACTTAATGGCTCCTCCTCGTGTAATGTTTACATCAACAATTGATAATACTAAACTATACTAAAAATACATTACATGAAAATAAAAAGAAGGACGCAACCTTCATTTAATAATTACAACCCCAAAAATACCTGTAATCATCATTCATTCATCCATACATCAATCATATTGATTAGGGGTTTTTCCATGATCACCACCCTTCCTCGCGAGCCATAAATTCTAAATTTAAAGCTTTGGAAGGCACAAATAAAATTTTGCACTGAATCAAATTCATGGCCGAGCAACGTAAGCCACGTTAAGAAATCAAAGCCGGTGAAACAAATTTCACGTAGGTGATTCCAAGTGACGGTAGCGTTGTCGCCTCTAGATTCATAGTTGCGAATCATTTTGCAGAAGACAAAACTAAAAGAAAATAAGGTACGGATTTTTTATTCAAAATTGATTTAGTTCTGATTTTTGCTCAGTTGATCAAATTTATCATATAAATTAATCAACTTCTATAGGCCGCTTAAGAGCAAGCAATTCTCTCAACAAAGTAAATTGGCCATTGGATCGCAAAAATATATATGAACCAAAATCAATTAAACGCACGAGAACGCCTAAGGATTGGCTTTGATACCACTGTTGGTTTTTTACGGAACATGCATAGTTAAAAATATAAACGCAGCGGAAAAATATAACCATACATGTATCTCCAAAGGCGTTGTTCGTGCGTTTCAATAAAAAATCGGAAGACCATAGGTGGTTAATCGGATTACCTCTCGTAACGTGCCCAAAACGATTTCGGTTCGGATGTTCTTCAGTTCGAGTCCCACAACCGTCGGACCTCTAGTTCAGACACACCACCAATCGCACGACGAACGGAAGGAAGAACTCGCGGATAATCACCAATAGAATTGTGCTAGCAATCTTGTGGTGACAATTCTTCGCACTCTCGATATTTCAGTCACGGCGTCGGAAGAGAGAAAACGTATTTTCTTGACTCTCACGAACACATGAGAGTTCTTCTTGACTCTCACGAAAACTCATGTGTTCGTGAGAGTCAAGAAAATACGTTTTCTCTCTTCCGACGCCGTGACTGAAATATCGAGAGTGCGAAGAATTGTCACCACAAGATTGCTAGCACAATTCTATTGGTGATTATCCGCGAGTTCTTCCTTCCGTTCGTCGTGCGATTGGTGGTGTGTCTGAACTAGAGGTCCGACGCTTGGGACTCGAACCAAGAACATCCGAACCGAAATCGCTTTTGGGCACGTTACGAGAGGTAATCCGATTAACCACCTATGGTCTTCCGATTTTTTATTGAAACGCACGAACAACGCCTTTGGAGATACATGTATGGTTATATTTTTCCGCTGCGTTTATATTTTTAACTATGCATGTTCTGTAAAAAACCAACAGTTGCTGGGGGAGGGGTTTGTCGACAGATTATTCGGATACCAAAGGCTAAACAAGATGCTCGAAACTTTTTGAGCTACAACGGTCTTCGGGATGTACACAGACCTCTCTATGTCTGTTCCAGATAACATCTGTTTCAGGACAAACAATCACAAAAGAAGATGAACATACAAATAAGACAGACAAAGAAAAGGACCTCCGACGAGTAAACTCGAGTATTTTCACAGCAATTTTCCGCAAGGACTCGGAAATTGACCGCAAAATAAGGGGCACAGTCAAAAGAGGAGCCGATTCTCCGTCCCGCTCCTGCAGTTCTTCAGCTAAAACACAGACAATATCAATCAGGGTTGATGATGGAATATGCTAAATGGAGTGCAATGAGAGTTTCTTCAACTGAGAGGCAGCAAATCTGCAATTTAAGTTCATCCCCGACCATGTTACCTAGCAAAGCGAATTGATCATCTAAAAACTTATCTCGAGTGTCTAGAGACAGGTTTGTTCGTGGGAGATCGTGAAATTCCATGCCTTGTATCACTTGCGATAGCCTCGTCCCTGCGTCACGGAACTCCGACTCCGCAACGAGAGGGAAAAGAAATGAATGACAAAGTTACAAACAGCTCTTTCCAGGATGTTGAAAATATGTCTCGAGTTTAAGCTCAAAACGAAAATCTGAATATTCGAAATTGGTATTTTGCGGACGTCCGAAATCGAGCAAAAAGAAATATTGAAAATTTACTTTCCAAATATGTGCCGGAGGAAACAAATATTCTTTCCTAATTGATATTGGAGTCTACGGCTTGAACAAGAAAGTCCAACGTGGTTTTTTGATTCAGACCATGACTCGGTCAACTCTTGGGCACATATATTATATTCTATCGTGGGCACCTTGGAAAGAAGAAGTTGAAGAAAGCAGAGTGGTTTTCGCGAAGCCTATGTCCAGAGCAAGAGCGAAGACCTCTTGAAGCGCCGCTGCTTGCGAGTGCTTGGCAGTTGATTTCGTTCGTGAATTACATCCAAGAAGAATTAGTGTTCAAGCGTTGGCAATCTTGTGATAAGATTTGTGTATAATTCTTTCGCGAGATTGAGAGATTATTTCGTGAGGAATTGTGAATTGGCTAAACACACGTGTGAGTTATCTGGGGTGTAATTGGGGGCTTGGGAAACACCGAGAGTGTTTGAGTGACTCGAGTGTAGTTGTAATCTCCGTTGTATCGCTTGATCTATAGTGGAATTCCGTCTGCTCTCCCTGTGATGTAGGTCACTACGATCCGAACCACGAAATCTGTGTCCGATTTATTTTCTTATTCTATCAATTTTATTGTTCGATCGCTTGGCTTCCGCAACACAGGATTCCACAACTTTTCACAATCTGTCCCTTCACCAAGACGGGGCCCCTAACGCAATGCATGGATACCGAGCCTTTGTATTTCAGAGATTTACTTGTGCGTTTGTGATAGTTGAAATAAATTATCGGAATCATCGGATTTAGTCCAGCTTAGATTGAGAAGAATGTATTGTCGCTTAACTTTTGTTGATTGATTTACTTCTATTGATTTATCTTAATTTCTTACCGTTTGGAAATCTTATCAATCTTTTCTCTAATGCGAATCCTGGAGAATGTCCGATCATATACAATTCTGGATCTAGAAAATGTTCACGCCGTCTTTCGCGAGATTGTTTTAACTAATGGCATGAATCCATATGTCGGCCGTGCAAGCCCGGCTCATCGAGCGGCACACAAGCCATGGAATCAGTAACTAAGGGAGGCCACTCACGCCTGCACTCCAATGTCCCATCTCCGACATCTTCGTGCCGTCGACGCACACCTGGCGGCGAAGATCCACGAAAGGATCCTGTTCAATCCACCCGACGGGCATGGTCACGGGAGAAACTGCAGCGATCGGCGATGACAGCTTCGGTCTCGCACCCCGCCAGGACAGCCGGCGGTGACGGGCACCCGATACAGAATTATGCTTATGTTTCTCCGTAATTTAATCCGTAAGGAAACAAACACCGAAAATGGATCTTCGGTTTTTAATTGAAGGACGGGTTCTGTGGTGATTTGACAGGAAATATCCAAGCGATCATAAAAATCAACATGGAATTATACAAACCTAAACCAAACCGGAGTTTGACTCGACGGAAAAGTTTAGGAAGTACTATCGAAACAAACTTCGACGAAATTTGACTCGAGGACGAAGCTTGAAAGAGCGGCGGTACTACGCCGGGATTTGACTTGACGACGAAGCACCAAGGATGAAGATTCATATCGGAGGACGACTCGACGACGTGAATCTGAGCATTAGAACTACTCCTAAAGAATTAAAGCTTGTAAATTGCAGGAAAATAATGGCCTTGGCCAAATGTAAAGGTACGAGTGCAGGAAATGTAAAGATAAAAGAAAGATAAACCGATAAAGAACGTGAGTTCCATGTGTAGATTGGGGGCTCTTTAAAATATAAACTTGGGATATTTATAATCCCGTATAAGCGTTTACAACATTTAAATTTTAAATAAAAAGTAACTTCCTAACGGTGGTTATTATCTTCCTATTTTCTAAGCACTCTCCACGCTCAAATAACCACCCTTATCCATAAGCTTTGTTATTGATACCTAACTATCGGTAAGTTGTCTGATGCCAATCCTCCGCTCACCCACCCACTCCAGGTAAGTTGCGAACTATCGGTAAGTTACCGACGCCAAAGCTCCCGATGCCTATTTCCATGATTACCGACGCCAAAACTCCCTATGCCTATTTCCATGATTTTTTACCACTTTTTGGTGTAAACAGATGCCCCCTTAAAAGAATTGAATGATTTACCAATCATTCGATTCTTTTAACTAATGGCCTTTAGGTGCCCCGTAACTCTTTTGCTACTTTGCCTATTTTCATGATTTTTTACCACTTTTTGGTGCAAACAGCTTACAAAGCAATAGTACTTAAAAAAGTTACAGCTCTATTATAGGTCATGCCATCATGCGCTCTGCATCGATAAATCTGGAGCGATATATCAAGTCGAGGCTTTTGGACCGCGGGACAAAATGACAAATATCTGAGAGTCACTCCACCGCGATAAAAGCTCTCGCTTTTTACGTTTCTTCGTCGGAGCGCAGCAATGGCCGCTTCCCTCGTCTCCCCCTCGCTCTACACTTCCGCTTCCAGGATCTCGCCGGACTTCGGACGCCCACAAACGCCGAACCCCATCAACCTCCGTCGTCCCAAGACGCCGCCGCTCCGGCCGCTGAAGAGTCCCGGGCTGAGGCCCCTCTGCGGCGCCTCCTACGCCGTCCCGAACGCCGACAACCCCAGGATCTACCGCCGCCGCCGCCGCGTAGGAGAAGGCGCGGGCCCTCGCTCCACCACCAAGGACAGGACCGAAAGCCCACCTCGCAAACAGGGCCGCGAAGGTCCTTCGAAGGATGCTCGTAATTTGGCGGAGAATCGGGCGGGTAGCGAGCCGAGGGAGCGGAGTTTGGGGTCGGTTGGAGGGGGTTTGGAGGGAGCTGATCTGATGGGTCTGTTGCAGGAGGGTAGGGTGGAAGAAGCTGTTGGGTATATGGAACGGGGAGTTGGTGCGGATTATGCTGTTTTCGGCGCGTTATTGGAATCGTGCGGGAGTTCGAGGTCTCTCGATCTGGGCAAGAGAGTGCATGATTTGTTGAGGCGGTCTCGCTTTCCGGGCGCTGTGGATTTGAGTGAGAAAGTGGTGAGGATGTACGTGAATTGTGGTAGTATGAGAGATGCACGCCGGGTGTTCGACAGAATGCGTGAGAAGGATATGAGCTCGTGGCACTTGATGATCAATGGGTATGCCGCGAGCAGCCAAGGAAATGATGGGTTGCTTTTGTTCGAGCAAATGAGGAAGGCGGGCCTGCTCCCCGATGGCGAGACGTTCACGGCTGTTTTGGCCGCTTGTGCGAGCGCAGGAGCAGTAAAACAAGGGCTCGCGCACTTTGATTCGATGAGGAAGGAATTCGGTATTGTTCCAAGCGTCGAGCATTATTTAGGGGTTATTGATGTGTATGGAAGTTCGGGTCATTTGTGCGAAGCATGGGATTTTGTTGAGAAAATACCAATCGAACCCACTTTGGAGATTTGGGAGGCACTAAGGAATTATGCTCGGATTCATGGAGATCTTGAGCTCGAGGACCGAGCCGAGGAGTTGTTGGTTGCTCTTGATCCTTCCCAGGCAATTGCTAAAAAACTTCCATTACCTCCAAGAAGGAAGCATTCTGCAGTCAATATGATTGGGGAGAAGAATAAGCTGAGCGAGTATCGATGCATCGAACCATACAAGGAAGAGGTGAATTCAAGAGGCTTGAATGGGCAGATGAGGGAAGCAGGGTATGTACCCGACACGAGATACGTCCTTCACGACATTGACGAGGAGGCGAAAGAGCAGGCCCTGCAATATCACAGCGAGCGCTTGGCCATTGCCTATGGTTTGATCAGCACGCCACCAAGAACGACTCTGAGGATCATGAAGAATCTCCGAATTTGTGGTGACTGTCACAATGCGATCAAAATCATGTCTAGAATCGTGGGGAGGGAATTGATTGTGAGAGATAACAAACGATTCCATCATTTTAGGGATGGCCAGTGCTCCTGTGGAGATTTTTGGTGAAGTCGGTTTTCTTCAGTGATGGGAGCTCTTGTTTCTTCCAAAGTTCTACCACATAAAAAGTGCCCTATATGGTCCTTTCTTGTAGAGGATCAAATGATTGTCTAGACATGTGAGTTTGATCTTGTACATGATGCTCATATTCACGGACCTATAGTGATGACATTAGCACCTTTATTATGGGTGAGATCCTGGAAGGCAGTATGAATGTTTTTCGCTTTGGCGTCCCTTTTTCATCTGTACAATTTTCACCACCTCCATGAGTTTGGGGAATGCTCTCTCTCCTTTGTGAACCATGACAACACCTATAATCGATATGCCCGGGTTCGGAAGTGATTGATTCTGTTGCTTTTTTCCAAAGCAAGTAGGTTGCAAACTGCTTTTCAATTATGCGAGAACAACCAGCAATAGATTGCTTCTTTCTGCAGAAGGAAATCTTTGCATAGTCTCCTTGTCATAGTTCACCAAAGTCTGCAAAGCGCTATAATGTCTAGCTCAAATTTTCGAGCTGATCGAATAACAAGATCTTCCCACTGCGCTTTCGCAAATAACTGATGATGCGATATATTGAAGAATAAAGTGTCAAGCGCATAAAATAGAACATGTTCAGGAGGCAAGGAAATCAGATCAGAAGCTCGCAGAACAACAGATTATGGTGCTTTATTCTAACACGCTAGGAAATCTGGGTGGTTACACCTTACGTATGTACAACTTGCATGTCAATCCTATCCTAGTATACAGGTAATCTGGATGGTTAAACCATCTGAATTCTAAAGATTGCCGTATGGCACCTTATTGACTATTCCTTCAATAACGGACCTCGAACGAGGTCCATTTGGATGCTGCAGCTCGGAGCATCATATAATGTCCGAGGGAAAATGAAATATACAACCAATGACCTGATGGTACAAAGCATTCAAACAGAGTCGAAAGCCAGCTGCAAAATGGAGTCCTCTGATTGCCTCGTAATATTAACGATCAGCGTCCTCAAGAGTGCAACGAAGATGCATGGCTACTCTGTTCTTTCAACTCTAGTTCAATCACAGCCTCATCTCGTGATGGGACTCTTAAGTTTGACTTCATAACATCATACACAGTAAACCCGATAGCTACTGAGGGTACAACCTGAAAGGAAACAAACCGGCATTTAGTAAAAACATAAATGTACAGTGATTAACAAATGGAAACTTGCTCAACTTCCTACCCTTATGTAATTGATGCTCAATCCTGAAAATAACTGCTTCCATCCTTGCCTCTTGGCAATCTTGACAAGGGCTTCCACAGTTCCCTTAAGTTCTGCACTGTTACATGCCGTGAGCCGTTGAACCTGTCAAGGCAAAAACTTCTTTTGGATCATCCCTATACACCCTCCAATTGGTATCTATAATCAACTCCACATCTTTTATTCAAATTAACTGCATTTGTCTCCTCACAACATCAAGCGGGTAAGTAAATGTCTGACCCAATAAACCTGCAACGGATCCACAGACAAGCTTCACCGCGATATCTTTTTTGTGTTCCTCGGGGACATGGCGTTTCATCTCCTCATAGAAGTAAAACTTCAAACCCGCATAAGGGAAGATTCCGTAGAGTGATGGTGCTGAAAAATGTTTCTGCATGTTAATGGCTACAGAAGAAATATTATCCTCCTTAAGAATAGCAGCCGATGAATCATACCAACACCGCGATAGAGCCCTCTAATCCCAGCTTCTTTATATGTTGTTGAAAAACAATCCAGGATTCCTCTGTAGACTTGTTCAGAACCAAGCACTCCTTTTACAGAAGAGTTTGATGAACCAACAACCTGCACAAAAATAGCAAATTGGTCCAACATGTTACTGGGGAACATATTCTTGGCATTCAGTTTCAATCAACATGCATATAATCTCATGGCAATACTACATGATTGCTCTACCTGATAAGCCAATTTAGTCCGAACCAAATCTAGAGGATACGTGAAAAGTACAGCAGTTCCCCCAGCAAACGATCCTGCCACAAGATCAAGCACAGGGCCTCTTCCAACATCTGGAAACCAATGAATGATCCATCTCCTGTATTCCTCATAGGTCATATAGTGAAGTGCCGCATATGGTATTATTCGAGCAACACTTGCACCATTTCCTCTGAAAAAACAAACAAGAAAATCAATACCAAATATATCCTATGAAAAACTTTCACACGATGACAATTAATATCAATCTACCTGTAGAAACCCAAAAGCCCCTCTGTCTTTGCAATCTTTCTAATAGATCCAAACAGCCCTATGCTCTGAAATTCTGCTCTTCTGGTCTAAATGAATACTAGCAAGATACATTTAGAAGAAAAACTCAAATGCACTTATTAAGCCTACGACAGCATGTAATCTTGAAATCCAGGGGTAAAGCAGAATACTCTAAAAACATAATCCTCAAAATGTACATCAGCACCATTTCCAGATATAAACAAGAATCCTCCACAAATATCTTTTATTCATTTATTTGCTCGTGTGCTGCTAAACGCTCCACATATATCGGTTAAAATGGAACTTAGTCCCAATTTGCAAGCCCTCGTCAAAAGTGGATTCCAAGTAACCACTATCCTGCTGTTGGTCATAAAACAAGAACGATTATATTACTCAAAACGTAACATGGTCACAGAAGGTGCAGACAGACACAATCGGGAAGAGAATTCAACAGAGTGCATTCCGCAGTGAGAGACAGAGAGAAATTATGGCGTCCAGCATTCCAGCTACAAAAGAGAGTGCTATCAGTTTTTCTCTCTCTCTCTCTCTCTCTCTCTCTCTCTCTCTCTCTCTCTCTCTCTCTCTGTGCAGTTCTATCGGGTCAAACAGAGCTGTCATGAGATCATTTTGCAAATCAGGATAACCGAGCATACAAGAACTCATGAACCCAACACTAACTACCACAGCTCATGATTATCTAACTGTTTCGCGGGTTATCCAGCGAGTGTCCACTTCAACAGAAGAGAAACTTCAACGATCGATCGTCCTCTCGCATAATAAATAGCTCGTGCAAAACAACCTCGATCATGCGATCGATAATGCCGATCGCCAAACAAAACCAATGCGGCCAAAACCTCCGCACGCCAACTCAACTGCGACCACGAGCCTCTGCAGCCCTCAACAATCAACAGCAGCCAAAGCGCAGAGTCGCCTTCGATCAGAAACACGGCCCCCGACGGGGATCACCGGGCGGGGCGGGGGAGACCAACCCAGCAAGCCACGGCGAGATTCGGGCTCCGAGAGGGAGAGGAAAGAGCGGAACTTGGGGCGTACCTGGAACAAGATCTTGACGCGCTCCAGGGGCGCCACCGCGGTCTTGGCGACGCCGCCGGCGACACCGCCGGCGACCAGCTCCTTGGCGAACACGGGCATGGCTTCGATCACGCCGTCCATGGACGCGATCATCGCTCTCTCTCACTCTCTATCTCTCTCTCTCTAGAGAGAGAGCGGAGGAATTCGAGACGTCTCTAATGGCGGGCGCGAAGAGGCTGTGGGATGAAATTTTCGGGGGAAAGAAGGAAGACAGAGAAAAGAATCTGACCTGTCAGGACAAGGCCAAGAGGAGGCGCGATCGGGTGCGGTCCGGCCTATCTTGGCCCCCGCTGCTCCCGGCTCAGCCGCCCAATCAGGAGCGGAGCCCCGGCGCCGGGTGGGGCGGCGCGCGCGCGGCGGGACGCGAGTGGGCGAGGAGGGGGCGGATCGCCTGCACCTGGCTGCACACGCGAGCGACCAGCTCTCGTTTTTTTTTTTTTTTTTATTTTTTTGTTTTTGGTCAAATCGTGTTCTTTTTTAATATTACTTCAAGATTGTTTTTTAACAAAAGGGCGAACTGAAAGTACAGCTGTGTGTTGCCGGGTCCAATCAGAACTCAGGCGGTAAGCCAGAACGGGAGAGGGCTGTCGTTTTTGCGGGGCTTTGACCTTTGACTTCAGCGCCCGACCGTGGTCAACGCCATTAACGTCGATCGAGACCGTTTGATCAAGATTTGCCTCACGTGCGACGGTAGGTATACCGGGTAAAAAAAAGAACCATGCGACTTTCATCTTATCTACCACCGACGAAGAGTCGACCGTCGGATATTGACCTCGACGCCATCGGTCGGATGTGGACATTGACCTTTAACCCCGGATGTTTAAGGTTGAACCGGATGTGACTTTCATGTGAGGATATAGCAAATAGATACATCGTCTGAGAAATATTTGGTTATCGGGAAAGCAGTGCTTCGAACGATGACGAGTCTCGATAAGATTGAAAAAAGAACAAATTTTAGGAAATTCCCTTGTTTTGATGCCTTGTTGAACTAAAACCGATGGTAAGAAACGAGACGAGCACAAATCCTAGTTGGAAGCAAAATGAATGGCGAGCGCAAGAAAAGTACTCGTTGCAAAGAAAATGATCAATCCCTTGCAAACTAAAGTCATATATTCTTAAGAAAGAGGTTGTTATTGTATATTCATATAGATATAGATAGTACTAAAATGTCCAATCATGTGATTATTTTTTTCCTTGTATATTTAGAGTTATTACTTGCGCAGAACCAACAAAAAAAACAGTTCAACAGCCGCAATTTCCAAATCCAAGACTCTGGAAAAACCACAGGTCAAAACAAAATTTGAAAAGCCAAAATCGTGTTAAAGAATCACCCTTAAACCAAGCACACTCCTAGCAATATCTTCTTCTTCTTCTTTTCCCAAAAGAGATGGAAACAGCATGCTTTCTATAGATCACTGCATGTTCACTATGAACTATAATGATCATCCGGTTAGATTGAATACGATTGCAGATCAGATAAACGAAACCAAACTTTCCAAGAACCGAACTTCTTTTTAGAAACCTGCCATATGGATCAGCCAAACAGAAAGAGACGGTAGAGCAAAAATTATAAAGAAAGAAAGATAATCATCGGTTTGATTGAATATTGCCAGCATCGTGGTGTTAAAATCAGTTTCATGTCTCACCAAGTTCCTAGTGATCAAATGGGTTGGTTCTGCGAAGATTGTTTAAGGGTAAGAGACTTGAGTTGTCTTACCACCATTATCAGGCAAGGCCATGAGCCCCGTCCTGGTATTTTCATCCGTTAGAATCCTGTCTATAATGTCAAGAAGCACCCCCGCGAGCTCTTCTCTGTCGCTCCATTCATGGATCACGGCTTTAATAAGCATTTGGTCATTGAAAATGAGATTCCAGAGAGGGAAACTCTTCCTCGGCATTACAAAGTCTCGTGTTCCGAGCCTCAAGCACGGACAGTAATCGCCTCTCCCGTCTCCGAGATATACATATCTTCTCTTCATGAATTCAGAATCAGCAGCTTGAATCCTCTTCAGAACCAGGCCCTGTATAGAAAAGCGCCACGCGTTTAAACTTAAAAGGAGCATGAAGGATTTTTAATGAGCCGGCACACCAAAGATCCGCAGATTTCCTTAAGACAATAAACAAAATGGACTATCTGTGGAAATCTGATGATCCAAAAGCAGTATTAACTTTACTGGGATACAAGAAAGGCGATAAAATACAAATCGGATGAATGTGTATTTCACACAGTTAGCAATGAAAACACTGTTGTGCCACTGAAATTTAAAAAGCATTTCCTATTATACGTTTCAACAACCCGTCACAATTTAAAGACTTAGTCAGTCTTACATACTGAAACCATAAGGCCATGTAATAAGCACACAAAACGTTGCATCTATGTCGAAGATCAACCTTCCACAGTTACCCGAGGATGTTCCTGCCACCCTCTGCACGTTTGCAGCCAGATTGTTTAAGTGGAGGCACATGCTTCCCTCGCCTATTTGACAAAAGTAAGACCTTTTATTGCCAATAAGATTATTCTCTATCGTTCTTGATGTAACACACTCCTATACAACTTCATCCAATTTCCATTGTTTAAAGAATAATTACATCCCATCTACATTCTTCATAGAACGAAAATGCACATTGTAAATTCAAGCACAAATTCCTCTCAGCAAACTACACGGAACCCTCATCATGGTTCCTCATGAAGCTCAAATTTCTCGACAGGCAGCCCTAAAGCATTATGGACGCAGACAAAGCTTAAAAGTAAGGCAAACTGCTTCTTCCTTTCACGTAAAACCTCAAAGCTCAAAAATGCTTCACAAATCCACAAAAGCACATAGCAATATATATCGTCCTGCTAAATAACAGTTGGGTCACCGACAATAAATGCATCAAGATTTAGGCAACACATAAACACGAGAATCGCATATGTGAAGAAGTAGAGTCCAGGGTGTGAATCATTGTTCCATTACCTTGCACATATTGGAGGGACACAAGTTGCATCCATGAGGAGAAGAGGCAGAATCGTGAAAAGGGACAATGTTTAGCCTGCCTTCCGCATCTACGAAAGCCGGGTTCGTGACGATCTCAGAGAAACAACCCAACAGCCCGTGACGCTTCAGGATCGTCTCTATGAAGAACTGATTCGCATCGCTAATTATCCTCAGGTCGCACCTACGGGGACAGAGCCCCCAAATAAACATTACCATTTAGCTAATATATTCTAATTCCTTCTTATATCACACTCACACATATGCAACTCAGTACATCATACGCATTCATTACCCATATCCATGAGCTGCTCGAATGGATTCGATAACACGAGGATGAAGAGGCATTCTCCTCAAGCACTCCTCAATATCCTCAACTGTCTTGCCCTTTGAATGGAGCTCCATCATCATCCTATTCTGGGGATGAAACAAGAACACCACAAACGATCAATTTCTGCTCAAATTCACACTAACGATATCAAAAAAGCTACAAGCTTTGAGCATGTTGCACTCAGAGGCGCACGCCCCACGAGCTTCACAGGGTCAAATTCCACTGCTGATTGCGTTTGCCGAGAAGCGACGGGAATTGGGAAAGAGCGGAAGTCGAAACGGAACGAACCATGAGGGAAATCCAGGGCATGGTGGAGCGGAGCTCACGGAACAACTGGGTCAGACCCATCTCCGTGACAACCCAGTTGTCGCTGTCGCCGTCGATCAACGTCCGGTCGAAGTCGAAAACCACCACCACCGCTTCTTCCGCCATGGTCTCCGACGACGACGACGACGACTTACCGACGACCTGGAAAGAGCCAAAACCCAATTTTTCTATTTTTTGGGTCGCTTGCCAAAACCCAACTTGAGTTGTGACTTGTGAAGCAAAAGTTCATTTATTATTTTCTGACAAGAAAAAGTTTATTTATTTATAATAAGATTAATATCATGAAAATTTTCAAATTGGTACATTTGTGATAAATTTACCTCAAATTATTTTTTTGATCATAAAAAATCCTAAATTGGTACACCTGTGACAATTTCACCCCGAACTAATTTTTTGACCACCAAAAATCTCAAACTGGTACATATATGACAAATTTACAATAAATTAGTTTCCATTAAATTTTACTATTAAATTGCTAAGTTTGATGACACGTAGTAGTTGACGGGTGTAACAGTTTGGGGTTTTACCTCTCTGTTTGTCACAAGTTTACCAATTTGTGATTTTTCATGATATTAATCCAATTTAACGGATACTAACGGAGGGTAAATTTATCACAAATATACCATTTTTGGGTTTTTAGTGATTAAAAAATTAATTTGGGGTAAATTTGTCACAGGTGTACCAGTTTGAGATTTTTTGTGGTTAAAAAATTAGTTCGAGTTAAAATTGTCACAATTGTACCAGTGTAGGGTTTTTTGTGGTAAAAAAAATAGTTTTGGATAAATTTGTCACAAACGTACCAGTTTGGGATTTTTGGTGGTCAAAAAAATAATTTTGGATAAAATTTTCATAATTATACCAGTTTGGAGTTTTTCGTGGTATTAACCCTTTATAATAAAATACAGGAAATACATTTAACCAGATTTTTTTTTACATCAAAAATTTCAAACTATGCTCGTTGTGGCACGTTTACCTTAAACTTTTTTTGTAACATAAAAAATCCCAAACTTGTACATGTGCGACACATTTACCTTCCATCAAGATTTCGTTTAGATAATTTTTCAACCAAAACAATGTTATTTTTATTTCACCTAAACCACGCGAGCGTGTGTTAACATTGTTTGCTTTATGGCGTCTAAGATTTCTAACGATTCTCATTTACTGATGGATGGTCAATCAATGTGTCATACGGGTACAAATTTAGGATTTTTTGGTGTCGCAGAAAAAAATTTTAGAGTAAATATGTCACAGTGGGTACAATTTAGGGTTTTTGGTGGCATTTGCGCTAAAATAAATCAATAGGTAATGTTCAAAATTCATTTTAATCGGGGAAAAAAGAAAACATTAATCTATGAAAAAGCAGACATGATATTTTCACTAGATTTTTAATTTTTTTTCAACCAGATCTCACCACAGATTATCCAATATTATCCTCTCAGTTTTTAGCATTTTACTAAGGTCCTTACGCTTTATTTGTTAAACATTACCAACAATCATTCGTTCGCTCTTCGATTGCAGTATGCAATTTGGTGTGATTCGAATGTCAACATGTACTAAGCGGCATTGATACAGTTCAAAGAGGAGTGAGATCGGATCGAACAAAATCGTTGTTTCGGAATCGAACCAAATTAAATGACTTGTGCTTTCTCGCTAACTTTATTCACTCCCAAATTACAACTCCACAAAATTATTGCTAATTTTCTTCTTTTTATTTTGCTCGTGCTTTGTTTTTTTTTTATGTCGAGAACTTCCTCTTTGTAGTGAAAGAGATTTAAGAGAATCTCTCTCTTTGCCATGCAAGAAATTCATTGAGCAACAAGAAAGAAATTAGGAGTGAGCAATCGGGCTGGTTCAACCCGAGAACCAAAATGAACCGGCCTTACCCCGATCAATTCCAAACCGGTTCACACAGAAATTGGTTAGCTAGGCTCAGTTGCAAATTGTTTTGAACGGGTCCGAAACCAAATTCTAAGTTAAGTGTGCTATATACACTTTCTCTTTTCTCATTTCGGATTAAGATGAACACGGTATGTGAAAATCGTCACTGTTATCGATCTTCCATGTCTTTGCAATAAAAAGAAAGTAAGCCAATTCCTGGGTTAGCCTTGGAATCCGCCGATTCATCGACCGGCTTGGCTCCCAATTCCAAAAACCGAAACTAACTTTGACAGGATACATTTCAGGTTATTGGCCTGGAATGCAATCAATATAAAACCCTAGGAGGGAACAATTGTTACTCCGTGAAACACCTCTCTTGCCAATATAAACATGACCACGATAAACATGATGAAAGTGAGCGTTCTGAACAGAATTCTTTCTGGGCATTCTATGTTTTCTTGAATCTAATCCAGAAAACTACAAGTACTACATTCACGGCAACGTTGAATTTCAGGGGATATTGCGCAAGAAATATTCTTGGAGATTCCTCGTATCTTACATCTACTGCATCATGATTGGTTTAGATTGATTCCATACATTAAGATGGGACATTGCATATTTACTTGCCTCAAACAACTCTCACTTTATTACATAAATAACAGGAATTTGACAATTCTTCTCTCCCTCTTGCTTTCCAACTCTTTTCTTGACTTGTTTGACAGCAACAGATTGTCGCTATCGATTTCTTGGTACGTGCAAAACCTGTTTGGGGGAAACAAAAGATAAAAGGTCGTTGCTTTTTTACTGAAGCTGAAACAGAGGAAGCATCCTCATCCTCATCATCATCAGCATGGGTTCGAAGGTTCATGCTTTTTGTACCGTGATTGGAGCTAGATTGGTGATGGCATTGGTTCTAATCTCATGGGCTCGTTCAGTGTCGTGCTCTGTTTCTTACGACCAAAAAGCCATTGTCATTGATGGGCAGAGGAGGATCCTCATCTCTGGCTCCATTCACTACCCCAGAAGCACTCCTGAGGTAACTGACTCACCCAATGCAATTCATGACGTGTCTCTCTTTTTCTCTATGCTTCTTTCTGATTCTTTCTAAAAGCATTGTGCTGTGAATCTTATATGCCTTTTGTTCTTGGGTGGCTGCAGATGTGGCCTGATCTTATACAGAAGGCAAAAGCAGGAGGGTTGGATGTTATTCAAACCTATGTTTTCTGGAATGGACATGAACCTTCTCAAGGAAAAGTAAATTTATAAAGTTAGATTATTCCCACCCTGTTAAATTTAAGTATTTGCTATAAACTAATACAGTTGGCTCTTTTTTTTTCTTTTTTTCCTTTACCCTTTGTGCAGTATTATTTTGAAGACAGGTTCGATCTGGTTCAGTTCATAAAGCTGGTGCAAGGAGCTGGTCTCTACGTTCATCTCCGGATCGGGCCTTACGTTTGTGCCGAGTGGAATCTCGGGTAACGATTACATGAAAGTAATTTGCCGTTGCTCTTCTACATTACACAATCGTTAATTTAAGAATATGAATCCCCTGTTCTTCTTTGGTTCTGTTTTGTGGTGCAGAGGATTCCCTGTGTGGCTGAAATACGTCCATGGAATCGCTTTCAGGACAGACAATCAGCCGTTCAAGGTTTGCCCTCCTTGAAAAGGACCTTGACTCATTGAGTGCCTCGATAGGAAAAGTCTCAGTCAATTCTTTACTTTTTCTTGGCATTGCATGTACTTTTCTATCATTTAGGAATAGAAAAATTCCTCGTAGAGTGCCTAACGAGTGTTTGGCTATTCTGAGATGACTTTATTAACTACCATTTTGGACGCTAGTCTAAATAATATGGCCGATACAACTAACCACGGAACATAAGATTGCGTAGGAATTTGTCTTTTATAGCCGAAACCAACATGTGGTTACACTAACTTTTGAAGTACATTGGCTTGTTCTAAGAGATTTAATCTATGCAATACTTTTTCTTTTTTTTTTGGTCGAAATGCAATACATGATTAAGTACAAAATATTTACGATAAAACTTTTTGTGGAACCACAATCAATGTCATTTAAAAAGGGCTATTTGAATAGTCTTAAACATATATTGATAAATTATACTTATGAAGGATGCAGTGCAAGGTTTCACGCAGAAGATAGTGGACATGATGAAGGCAGAGAAGTTGTTTCAGCCCCAGGGAGGTCCGATAATTTTGTCTCAGGTGAGACAATTCTTGCAATTTGTTTTTTCTTTCACCAAAAAGAAAATTTGACTTTCTCACAAAGTGATTTTATTTCAAAATTTACAACTTCAATGCGCTTTGTACGGAAGAACACAAGTGGATCAGAAGTTATAAATTTGAGGACTTAAATGCACGAAGTGCAAAGTTTTTTAAGAGTTAACTGCACAAAGTTTGACAAATTTTAGGATATTTCTGCAATTGTCACTTTTTATTTCTAGCTGATATTTTGGAATCGTGTGGCTTATGGACAGATAGAGAATGAGTTTGAACTAGTGGAGTGGGAAATTGGTCAACCAGGCAAGGCATACACAAGATGGGCAGCTGATATGGCTGTGGGGCTTGGCACTGGTGTCCCCTGGGTCATGTGCAAGCAGGCTGATGCTCCTGATCCTGTGGTCTGCATTTTCCTTCCGTTTCGTGGGGTTTTAACATATATTTCTTGGTATTTTAGTTGTTAAATCTCGACTTATCTCGGACGAGTTACCTAAAGACTAGGACTAAAGCTTTCTAGGAACCAGTTTTCTCCTGTCCTTGAATTGTGTCAGTTCGTTACATGACAGATCAACACTTGCAATGGCTTCTACTGCGAAAATTTTGAACCGAACTCAAACGATAAACCCAAGATGTGGACTGAAGTCTGGACTGGCTGGTGCGTTGCCACGGCCAATGCCTGCCCATGCACGGACTTTTTCCTTTTTCTCATGGCTAGTCTCGAAGCTGATCATCAGTATTGTTTCCAGGTTCACTGGGTTCGGGGCAGCAGTGCCTCACAGGCCAGTGGAAGACTTGGCATTTGCAGTCGCAAGGTTCATTCAGAACCGCGGTTCGTTTTTCAACTACTATATGGTAATCTTGACTGCAAGAGCATTTTCTCTTCAGATGATCAGTCATCTGGTTTGATCTTTACTAAAACTTTCCTTTTTGTCTCCTCCCGTACCATTGCTGATTTATTTCTTTTCTTCTGCTGGATTGTCTTTTTTTCTCTAGTATCACGGAGGAACCAACTTTGGCAGGACAGCCGGGGGTCCCTTTATTGCCACCAGCTATGATTTTGATGCTCCTATTGATGAATTCAGTATGTAACTGGGTTTACATTAAACATCCTAGAGTAGGTCATGTTAAGTTTATCACACGTCTTATTTACTTTTTGTCATTGAATGTTTATAACTGCTTCTAATTGGAATAACCGGTTAAGCTTTCGGAAGTTTGATTGAGTAAAGGCAAATTGTACATCATGCTCGTTAACCACTGTTGCTATTGAATCTAAGAGTAAGAGTAATTCATGATATAGTTGGATGACAGTCATCAGGTTATCTTCCTGACATCAGAATTCACGATATCGTCATAGGTTCACTACGGGAACCAAAATGGAGTCACTTGAGAGACTTGCATCAAGCCATAAAGCAAAGCGAATCAGCACTAGTTGCTGCCGATCCTGCAGTGTCATCACTTGGAAGTAAACAAGAGGTTTGGTTTTTCAGCCCCCTTAATTTAACCCAACCCTGATGTGTTTTCCCTTGTGGAAATAAATTTAGCCATCAAGTTTTGGTTTCTAGGCTCACGTGTTCGAATCCGGATCTGGGGCTTGTGCAGCCTTTCTGGCGAACTATGACACACAGTATTCCGTGAAAGTCACTTTCCGAAATGGGCAATATGACTTGCCACCATGGTCCATCAGCATTCTTCCCGACTGCCAAACTGCTGTCTACAACACTGCCATGGTAAGGAGAAGACTTTCTTGAACATCTCACGTCAGCCTTTTCCAATTTAACATGTATTGTTACTGTCCATAACTTATTACCAAGTCCATCTAAAGCTGTATTTGGGAAGATTTATAAGCATTTCAAAAATCTGCCCCCAGAAAAAGATTTACTTCAAGGAACATCTTGCCATTGCCGCTGGTGGATGTAGCACAAAATCCTTCTTGTAGTGATTAAGGTTGAGGGTGACATGGTGCCATCGCCTCCTCTACAGGTTGGGGCCAAGAGTTCTCCTGTCCAAATGGTGCCCATAAAAAGCGCATTCCCTTGGCAGTCGTATAGAGAAGTAACTTTTTCTTTTGGCGAGGATGGAGCTACAAATGAAGGGCTATCGGAGCAAATTAGTGTCACTAGAGATGTTTCGGACTATCTGTGGTATGCGATCGAGTGAGTGCTGCTTGCTTTACCCCATTACATCTCATGAACCTTATTGAAGTTTCAATCTCGAATTGTTGCGTGCTTACAGTTTTGCTTTCCTCTGATGTTCTTGCTCGTTCAGCTTCACAATAAGTCAAGACGAAGCATTTCTAATGAATGGGCAATATCCCGTTCTCACCGTATCATCAGCAGGGCATGCACTTCATGTTTTTGTTAACGGTCAACAAGCAGGTAGATCAATTTCTGTCTCAGGTCTGAAATCGCAATATCCTTTTAGCCCTCGAAATCTCAACTTAAAAATATATGTTCTATCGATCATGTGTCTGTACTACAGGGTCGGTATATGGGGGACTAGGGAATCCGAGATTAACATATAGTGATAAAGTGAAGCTGACGGCCGGCATCAACAAGGTGTCACTATTAAGTGTAGCTGTTGGGCTTCCGGTCAGTTATCCATTTCCCAGATTGTTCTCAGTAACAGATGATATGGCTAAATACATTTTGACAAGGAGTATTGTCTCTTCTGTTTCCAATGTTCAGAATATTGGCTTGCACTTTGAGACATGGAATACTGGGGTTCTCGGGCCAATTACATTAGAGGGTATGAATTCTGGAAAATGGGACTTGTCGAAATGGAAATGGTCATGCAAGGTATCTTTAGTTTGTGCACTGCTCCTTTGTTCTTTTTTAGCTTTCCAAACCAACAATTTCTAGCAATTAAAGAGACCATATCAGCGTGCACTCGTCGCCGTTCCAAAAAAAAAAAAGTTGAAAAATGCGAATGAAAATTTGGGAGCTGTCAAAAAAGAAAAAGGATCGTTTCTACTAAATGTGATCGATGGTTGCTTAGTCTTGATAATGAAGTTTTTGTATGGAATGATTCACTTCTATAAGGTTTGGGAAGTTATCAGTACATAACTCACATACTGTATGACATGGGACACTGAGAATAATCTGCTAGACAATCATCAGAACCTAAATAGTAGTTTCTGGGAACAGGTCGGTCTGAAGGGCGAAGCTCTGAGTCTTCACACCCCAAGCGGCAGTTCCTCAGTTGAATGGACTGGAGGTTCAACATTGGCCCAAAATCAGCCCCTGATCTGGTACAAGGTGAAGATCACCTCCAAAAAAAATACACTAAACGTTAACTGTAAGTCCAGTTCCACTATAAAAATCAGCTCATGCTTTGTCTGCAGACAACTTTCAATGCCCCCAGAGGAAATACTCCATTAGCCTTGGACATGAACGGCATGGGAAAGGGTCAGATATGGATAAACGGTCGGAGCATCGGACGCCACTGGCCTGCTTATACAGCTCATGGCACTTGTGGTGCCTGCAATTATGCGGGAACCTTTGACGAGAACAAGTGCCGGAGTAATTGTGGAGAGGCTTCCCAAAGATGGTGAGAAATTTTTAGAACTACACTTTTTTCTCTATGGTTCTTCTGTTTAAGATGAACATCTGTTACAAGCTCTTGACTTTCAGGTACCACGTTCCGAGATCGTGGCTCAATCCCACAGGCAATCTATTGGTCGTTTTTGAAGAATGGGGCGGCGACCCGACCCAAGTTTCTTTGGTCCAAAGATCAGGGGGTAGCCCATCGGAGAACAACCTCCCCCATCAAGGGCCTGGTGCTTCGCATGGCCCTTCTATGGCTTTCTTAGTTTTCATGCTGTTATTTTCTGGAATCAAGCAACTTCCATTGTTCAGATGATGCTCAAGGGTACCAACATTCATTTTCTTTTTTCAGTCTTTAGAAGCTTATATATGCAAAGGATGCCGTAACTACTAACTCGCCTTTGACAAAGTGAAAGTGTGAAGTCAAGCATACTAACGCGCCATTTCATTGAAGTCATACTGATGCTGAGGGAGGAGAATGACTGTAGGAAAATGCCGGTGTATACAACAGTAGAGGACTTATGTTAGTTGTCGGAAATAGTTTTTACTTCTTTAGTTTTTGTTCGCGTCTGCCTTAGATGACAGCTTAAATTTTTTACTTATATTCTTCATTTTTTTGGAAGTTTGTACTAGAAAGAAAGCTGGGTAAATGCAATATTGGGGGGAATAATCCCGTTCAATCATCGATCGACATGGTTTCTCAGGTTAATTGCTTCTCCTACTTACAAGGTTGCCGTCAGACAAAAAAAGGGGCGTGGAAAACTAAAGAAGGCTGACAGAAAAATGTCGATAGCTAAAGCAGATCTCTCATATTAATGATGCAAAATTGTTGCATTATGCATCTGGAGTTATAACTTTACATCTCTTCTCACCAGAAAAAGGAAAATGCATCAAATGTGAATAATATAACAGTTAGCTTGGAAGTATTTCAGTCATGCTGCTGATCCTATTTGATTCAGTTGAACTATGGCATGTCCTTAATGCTGATCTTCAGGAAGATCCAGTAGCACCGAATATTTTCTTCTTATGCTTCATGCTGAATCAGTGTCGCAGGTCATAGCGGCTTCTGTTCAAAACATAGTTAAACTTTTAACCCGTTAAATTCAGTTGGGAGAAAAGGAAGAGAGTAGAATGTGTCTAGCGCTTGAAGAAAGAAGAGAATAATTTTCGCCCATTTAAGAGCCGCAAAAGATTTGCATCCAAACGAAGAGAAGATTGAAGAAAGTCATGACCTACTTATAATAGCTTTATCACAACGTTCATGATACCAGGTAAAGTTTGCACGATGCAACAACACATAGGTATTTGTAGAGAGAGAAATTGTAGGTCTTTAAGATTGTCCCTGATAGACATGGCCACGGACCGGTTTCGGCCCGGGACCGGCCCGTTGACCGGGCCTGCGGTTTGGAACCGGAACCGGCCCGTGGCCTACGGGCCGGTTCTGGTTCCAACAATTTTGGAACCAGCCCGGAACCGCCGGCTCCGGGCCCGGTTCCAAAAAAAAATTAAAAAAAAAACATTTTGATTACATTTTATATTGAATAATTCATTATTTCATAATTTGATAATTCATTATTTTTTTATTTCATAATTTATTTTTTTAATTTTTACCAGCCAGTTCCGAACAGGGCCGGAACCACCGGTTCCGGTTCATACATGGCCACGAAACGGAACCGGCCAGTTCCAAACTGTGGCCATGTCTAGTCCTTGAGTCTTTGATACTAATACCAGGAACTTAATCAGTGGAACCAGCTATGGACATCTTCCCCAATATGCATGAAGTTTGGCAAGATTAACAATGAAGGCCATACGTATAATTGATCAGAATTCACATTAACAGGTCAGGTACGCGAAAGAGTACATGCCCAAGTGCATTGAGAGAGAGAGAGAGAGAGAGAGAGATTTTGAGAAGCAAACTCCATGATATGTATTCCTTTCCATTTTTATTTGCTTGTCAAGGATCGAACTTTTGCCCCTTGGTGCATTTACAGATAGGTCTGGTGTGATCCCTTATGAACTACGAATGAATGAATAGGAAGAATCCTCCTCCCTATTTACCCACAAAAATTCCTCTCCTATCTATCTAACCCCCCTTTTAGTAGCTTCTAACCTTTCTTACATAACCAAAGAACCAAGCAAGACACAAGAATAATGAACAGATTCACAATAGCGATTTTGAGTTTTTGCTTGGACTCCGCCTGACAACCTTGGGCTTCTATTTTGCTGCAAGTTTTGTTTTGATCGGTTTGAGCTTCAAGCCCATTTTTTCGGGATAGAGAAGTTCAGGGAAGGAGCAAGAAGGGCTGAGCGGGCTTCTCGGGCTAGTGCTGAACAGAGATGGCCTATATAGCCCATATGCCTTGAGAAAATTCTCCATAGGAACTACCATTGCATAAGGCTGCTCTGCTGTCACCATTGATCCACAAGCCTGGACCTGCAGGACACAACCGAATCTTTTAACAATCAGAGCTCTAGCAGTGACATTACCATAGCTGCATGATTTGCACGCTTCTACAATGAGATACACAAGTTTAGATTGTAAGTGTAAATAGCATCTTCATTTCTTGGCCAGTTGGAATCTCAAAAACTAATATCCAGGTATAACAAGTTACAACAAATTATTGAATTGCCAAGAAATGTAACAATATCGTTCAGCTAATTATTCTTATAAATCTAAAATGCCAGATACGGCATAGTAATTTGTAGAGAAAAGGAGAAATAGATACCTCGACCAGCGTACAATATCTTTTATCAAGCTTAGTTGTCATGTGAAGAGCCTCTGCATAGAAAGGAGAATGTTCTCCAACAAATACAAGAGTGCGGCAGCCCAATTTCTTCAGGCGTTTGGTGAGATCATGTCTCCTAGAAGTAGCAAACCAGGAAGCAGTTAAAAGTATGTCCAAGACATCTAAGATCATAGCAAAGAGAGATTTGCCAACGTTTACCTGTTAATGGCATGAAGATATCTCATAACATTTGTACTTTTCCTCTCATTTAGCAACTGTAGAAAAATTGGATCATGTGAACAATCATTTAATGTACAACAAGACCTGTTCAATTGAAAGTGTGAAGCAAATAGCCAGCGGGTACTCACTCTTCTGCAAGCCTGAGCTATGTCAGATTCAGGAACATTTGCATCATTACGAACTTCCTGTTAAAATCAGAAATATTATTGAAAATAAGTCGATAAGTGAAAGTGAAGAGATTTTGGGAAAGTAGAAGAATACCATACCTTACTGAAGTAGCGTTTTAGCAAGCATTCCTTCAGCAAGTGGCACATTCCATAGAAATGAAGAAGATGTGACATCACCTAAAAAACGCAACCTAAGCTTCAGGAATGCCATTCTCTCATCGTGGAAAAAAATTTCGATAACAAGATCTGATAAAATACCTTATTGCCAACCCATTCAGACCAGGAGGGGTGTCCAGATAAAGGAGATACAAGAATCAAACCAAGAACACGTTCCCTGTACTTCGTCTATATTGAGCACAAAATTCTAGGTTAATTAATGTTAAAAACAACCCTGGAGCAAAACTTTACGATCCCCGAGTACGTACCGCAAATAAAGTGAGAATGTAAGCACCAGCCAATGCACCCATGCACATAACCGTGCCAAGCCTAGACAAGGAGAGAAAGTATCCATCAGGAACTCACTCTATCTCAGAAAAGGAAGTTCAGTTAAGAAATTCAAATACTTCTATGCCTCTCCTAATGAGCAGCAGTATCCAAGCACAGCAATGAAAACAACCACTGACAGAGGTTTTCATGTCATTAGTTGAACAAAGCAACACGAAGTGGTAGCACCATAATTACCCAAAATAGTTGAGAATCTCAAGTATTTGATCCGCTAAATCATCGACAGAAAGCACTGGATGATCATGAGAAATTGCTGCAGCTCCAAACTGTAATATCTCTTAACAGAGTGCCAGAAAATAAACTTGTGAACAATAGTGCCCAGTAGCTTTAGAGTATTACATTATAACAGAACGCAGAAAGAAACAAATTCAAGATATCAGCAAAGGCTCTTTGGTTAACCAATCACTGACCTCATGTCCAGGAGGGCTTATGTGGTAAACACAGAAGTTGTGGAGCAGCAAAGAAGATGCTTCGGGGCAGAAGAATAATCCTTGGAAGCAAGTAACATCTGAGAATTAAACAAGGAAAGAATGAGAGCTGAATTCCACTAGCCCCAGGAAGCATTTTCAAACATTTCACATTGGCCAAGAAAAGGTTGTCAGCCTGTCACAACTAGATATGAGATTAACGAAACAGACATTGAGTCAAAGACCAATGTGCAGAAGGAAGATGCATATCATTGTCCAGGTACAGCAGAATTCACGCAGGTGGCAAATAGAACAACTTTGCAGAAGATGACAAACCACCAAAGAAATGACTCTTACTGAACTGATCCGTTTCTTTATTGCAGATCTAAAAAAAAGCTGAATGACATGTTCATAATTGCCTTAAATCTCAACAAAGGGAAATACTTGACTAAAGCTACAGTCAAGCATAAAAAAAAGAGTTGTAGAGGCTAGAGAGAGTACACAAACACCTCAAAATCACGAATTGCAACCGACACCAAAATCCGAAGAAAATTGCACTTACAGTTCAGGGCTATATCTGGATAGGTTATGAGGGCTGGCTTGTCTTGCTCTCCGTAGACAATTACAGATACAGGACCACGGCCAGTGCGTATTAGATGTTCCTAAAACAAAAGTCAAAAAGAAATAGCTTTACAACGAAGCTATATTTTGACCAAAAAAACAAACGAAGCTATATCACAACCAAGTAAGAAAACCAAAAAAAAAAACAGCCATAATAGAAGCTCATTTCCAGGAAATTCTTAAATTCAAGCTCTCTTCGAACACGTCAACCAATTCACCCAACAGGCCTCCCCTTTTGGGGGCACAACTCCCCTCATTGAAGCAGCCAAGATTACGTAATTACAGAAACATGCAGGCACGAATTCTCTCCGTCACGAACCCAAGATGCGAAAATTTGCAACTTCATCAAGAAATCATTGGAGGAACACCGCTCAATCTCCCCCACTTCCATTTCTCCATTCTTGCGTTCACCAGCAAGAAATATTAACTCCCCTGTTCTAACTAGCCGAATTCCTAATGCCGTGAAATCCACGTTCTTCATCTTCATTAGACAAGGCCCGTCATCGGCATTTGCGACCCAATACCGTAACACCCTTCCAAATGCAGCCAACAAGAAACGCATTTTCGACCCAATACCACAAAACCCATCCAAATGCAGCCAACAACAAACGGCTAAACGCAAGAACCCGAAAGAAAAACTGGGTGGGGGGGCAAGGAGAAGAGAATGCAAGAGAGGGAGGGGAGAGGCTAATGGAAACCGAACCTTCCCACCGAGGGGGATCTTCTCTACGCAGACGAAGACGACGGAATCATCGAATTCACTAGCATGAAATATTAACTCCCCTGTTCCAACTAGTCGAATTCCTAATGCCATAAATCTATCTTTATCTTCATTCGACACGGCCCTTCATCAGCATTTCCGAACCCAATACCATAAAACCGTTCCAAATGCAGCCAACAAGAAACGCATGTTCGACCCAATACCACAAAACCCATCCAAATGCAGCCAACAACAGACGGCGAAACGCAAGAACCCGAAAGAAAAAATGGGTGGGGGGGCAAGAGAGAAGAGAATGCAAGAGAGGGAGGGGAGAGGCTAATGGAAACCGAACCTTCCCACCGAGGGGGATCTTCTCTACGCAGACGAAGACGATGGAATCATCAAATTCACTAGCATGAAATATTAACTCCCCTGTTCCAACTAGCCGAATTCCTAATGCCGTAAATCTACGCTCTTCATCTTCATTCGACACGGCCCTTCATCAGCATTTCCGAACCCAATACCATAAAACCCTTCCAAATGCAGCCAACAAGAAACGGATGTTCGACCCGATACCACAAAACCCATCCAAATGCAGCCAACAACAGACGGCGAAACGCAAGAACCCGAAAGTAAAACTGGGTGTAAATGCTAATGGAAACCGAACCTTCCCACCGAGGGGGATCTTCTCTACGCAGACGAAGACGGAATCATCGAACCCGCGCATGGCCGAGGCTTCCCTGCACCTGCAAAAGTCCCCCACAAGAACCGGAATTCCCTCTCTCCCTCCCGTGCTGCTGCTTCTTCCTCTTCAATGCACGGTCTTGCTTCGGGTTTTATACCCGACCTGAGAAGCCGCCCCCCATCTCTCTCTCTCTCTCTTGTTTCTCTCTCTTCTGTGTGACAGAGAAGGTGAGGTTGGTGAAGAAGGAAGCAAGCACGAACGAAGGATTTACTGAAAATAAACCTGTTTCACCACTGTCGAACCAACCCGGTCAAATCCAAGGGTCAAATTTACAGGTCAACATCATGACGTGGCCGTACCAGGATCTGCCAAAATGAGCAAAAATCAGAAAGAAAAAAAAAACAGAGTTTGCAGAAGAATATCACATTCTCATTTTTCTTTAAAAATGTAAATCTATTCTTCTTCTTCTTGCCACTTAACAAAAAAACTCCTATCATAATAGAGACAAAATAAAATTTGAGATATTTATGTCACCTAAAAGAGGAATGTAATATTACAAATCGGGATTTCTAGGAATGTTATATATCACCTATTCGTATCGAAAAATAGATGGGATGGCAATCCGTGCAGATCAAATTTAAGTTTTGATATTTCGCGGCTTACACTTCTTGAAAATCTTTTCTTTTTTTTCTTTTATCGATACAATAACCTTTACAATTTAATTTTTGACGTTTCGCAGCTTTGGTGTGTCTTTTTGAGTTTTGTTCGACAACTGAAGCAACGAATCTGGGTTGCTTGCCCTTCTTTCTACTCATCAGCAGCTAATAAAACATGACCCCCTTTTTGCTGCTCTTTGAGTCTATCCATTCACGAAACATCAACATCAATCATTTTTCAAGATGCCATTACCATGCTGGGATAATTTGATCTTTCAAGACCCAACATGATCTACTGCATGTGTTGTTCAATGTTCATGACAATGCAGGAGCCTGACAATAATTTGGACATTATATTTCCCAGGTTTCTATTTGTGTTGCCTGAAAGCCTCGCCAGTTACCACATATATGCCACACTGATTGTTCTTCTGAAACGAAACATTATGAACACTCGCAATTTTCCAGAGACTGCAAAATTTTGTGAACGACGAAAAACCGCTCGTGCAACCTGCTAGATAATGTTAATTTGTAAAGAACTTCTAAATGCATTAGCATTGCTGCAGATGTAAATAACAGAGTCTTGTACAACATAGAGCTCTCGAATTTTACATTAGAGGACATGATACCATCCCAGGAACAAAAATGAAAAAAAATTTCGACTGCCTATTGAGAGCTTGACTAGCTTTAACGTACATTCTACGCAGAACGGACGACACTGGAGAACTACAAAACCTTTCCATATGATTTGGCGATGTGAAGATCAGCATGTGCTTTACACACAGCGAAGTAAAACTTGGGCAACAACACTGAAACATATTCACCAGGTTGTTAGCTCCGGATTATCAATATCCAGACACACCTGGATCATACCAAAAATTCAGTCTGTCGCCACAGAAATAATTAGTAGGCATAGGTTATCAACACATTTCATATTTCTTCCTTATGGACTCACAGTTTACTCGTCATCATCTGAACTTGGATTATCAACTTCACTCGCGCTGCCTGCGCCATCTCCACCAACCCCTTTGGACCTCTCTCCTGGCAAATCAGCATTCTCAGCAAGCTCATACTTAAGAAACTTGATCCGTTTTTCCTTCCCAGCCCTTTTTCTCTGTTTCCTCTTTTTACCTTCATTTTCAGTCATCTCCATCACGTGTGCAGCTGCTATAAATGCTGCGCTCATTGATTCATCTATGTCTTTGCCCTCTCCATCTCCATCTCCATCTCCATCTCCATCCACATCTTTCTCTTCCCCTTTATTATCAATGTAAAAGAGAACATCATCTTCCTGTTTCCTATCCTCCAACTCCAAGACCGGTTTCTCATTTGCAACAGAAACATCAAAGACCAATTTAGCACGGCACTTCAACAAGCTATCATCAAAGAACCTCAATCCTCGATCCTCAAGTTCCAATAACCACTCTGGACCGGAAAAAAAAAAACAAATTTAAGGGCTCACACACAAGTGGCACTTCATGATACACAAAAAGAACATTTGATGGAAACACAACCATGTCAGAATTTTAGAGCTACTTACTTATGAGTGCTCTAGGTGATGACCCTGCTGATCCACTTGCCTTAATTTCCACACCAATTGCTCTCCTCGCCAGTTTCATTATTTGTGAAGGCAGAGCAGAACTAGAGAAGGCATTTATGTAAGAGATGGCAAGAGTTTGGTCCCCATGCTCCCTACAACATATCAAAACATGAGATGCCAAGAGGCTATTGCACCAAAATTCAAACAGACACCATCAAAATATGGGTACCTGAAAAACTCTATGGCTTTGTAAGCAACGATCAGTCTTGTCATCAAAAGATTCTTAACATGTTCAGTGGGCAAATCAGCTACTCTCTCATGACCGAGGAAAGAGTACTCCACCAGTATAGTCGCATCATATAGGACTTTCCTAAGTAAAGCTTGATCCTCTGACCCCTGGCCAAATGAGAACTGAAATCAGAAAGAGAATTTCTCAAGGAAGAAAATATAGCTGAACTGCAGCTGGCTTCACATTATAGATATCACCTCAACACTAGACTTGGAATATCCTTATAAATGACCTCAATTTTTTGAAGCTATAACAAAATATAATTATTCCTTCACGGTCGCTATATACACACAGCATTATCAGCAAGTAAAGAAGCATGTGTCTCTAGCCAAAAATGACTTTCCCGGCTTAGATCCAATAGACATCTTTGCATACTGATAATAAAATCGAATGAGATTTCTAGTGAAAACAATACCCACCAAAAAGGAGGCACCAGGTAAAGTACTCTGGATAAGCATCCTAACGAGAATCTCTGGTCAAGAATACAGCACTTGTTAGTTTGCAAGCAAATGATGAGAATTGAAAAGTGAAAGTGAAACTAAATGACAAGAAATGAGATCATAGCAACGAAATAATCCCTCGCACAAAACAAGGCACTGAGTCTATCAGGTTCAAGGATTGACTTTGTTAGGAGATGCTCACAAATTACATTTCCAATACACATCTCTTTGTACTTAGTAGAACTCAAGTGACCACCAAAACGACGACTCAACCATGAAACCAGCCAAACAAGCACCTTGACAAAACTTCCAGTAAACCCACATCTCAGACACAAACAAAGGCAACACTAACCAAAGAAGTAAGAGTTCCGAAAGCCGGTTATCGAAGCAACAGCCCAACTCCTCAACTCCTTCTCCAATTCCGACCTCGTGGCTCCTTTGACACGGAGTTTCAAGCACATCTTCAACAAAAACGCCTCCGCAATAACTGCCCCTGCCAAGTAATGAACCCCGCAACCTCCCTGTATAAGAGCTCTACTTATGTCATCTGTCAAGAGCGGAAAGAATCTCTCCGAGTTCTCCCCTTGACCCAACCAAACACAGACTAAATCCGCAATACCCGTGCTCGTCTCCGAACCGCCCCCCTCGTAAGAACCCTCGCAACTGCAAATGCTTAAATACCCAACAACCGCATCAACCAAGGACTGGACCTCTCTCACCGCCCTCCTGTCTCTCTTAGACGACAAGTCCCTCGCAAACAACTCGGAAACAATCCCATAGACCTCAAACATCACCGGCGCGAGCAGCGATACGCTCTTCAGATGACTACAAGAAGAAGAGCACGCCTTGATCAGCAGAAACGAGTCTTTCGCGGCCGCCACGCGATCAAGAACGTCGTCTCCTGCGCAACTGCGGCCGCGAGAGGTCAATGCGGCGTAGACCCAGATGGACTCGAGATGTGGGTCAGCTCTAGATTGCATCAATTGGTAGAATGCATCGACGAAAGAGGCGGTGTTGGGGGTTTCCCTGCGGATATCGGCCAAAAGGTCCTCCATTGCCCGCTTCAGAACGAGATTGAAGCTTTCGCCGACGAGAAGACCGGGTCTTGACAGTTCGAGAGCCTCATTCTTTAGCAATTCCATGACGGAGGACTGACGATTGACGGAGAATTGCTTCTCCGACGATCAAATGGCAGCTCGAAGAAGGGGAGAGAGAGAACCCTAAACCCTAAATCGGAAGGAGCTTGTCCGACGTCGTCTTGACAGTCGTGAATCCCCGCATCTGCTAGCCCGAAAACCCGGACCGCGCCTAACTGTTTTTTTTCGGGCCGGTCCGAGCTATCGGAGGCTCAAACCAATCTGAGTTATTGGACGATTAGTAGGACTTGATTGCACTTTTTAATTATACCAGTGCTAAATTGCACTTTCTCCATAACTTTTAAGATTTGTAGCGTGCTAATCGAACTTTTTGGTAGTGTTTGGGAACAAATGTTGGTAGTGATTTCGTGTGGCTAAGGAGAGTACCCGTCGGCTATGCTAGAGACGTGCTGTCAGCTCGAGGGATAAGTCGAGCACCGGAATTCGATCTGGAGATCGTCCGGGCGATCAAGGGAAAGACGAGGACCCATCGATCTAATTCAAAAAAATCAGAGCGGGAACTGTCATAGAGACAGATGAATCCGTAAAAAGCATATTTTACGGAGAGACCGACTATAGAATCGGAAGTTACAAAGAGCTGTGGAAGTGCAGGAAGATCACACAGGAGAGTGACCTCAATTCACCAAGAATCAAGATCAACATGAAATGCTCTCTAGTCGCGAGCAAATCAGATCACCCATTTCTAAACATCTGAGAGTGACGCCTAGGGGAAGTTTTTAGCTGCCAGGATTTTGCAATTCATAGTATCGTTGATACACCGGCTTGTAACATGCGGAAAGAACGGCGAACAGCAAAACGAGATATCAAGGAACTCCTCATTTTCCTCGAAAAGGAATTTGCTTTTCCTGTTTCAGAACATCAGGGCCTTCTTAAAGTAGGATGTGGTGAGAAAAATGACTTGGGACTTTCTCAATCACGAGCGTTCAGACCCGGCATGCATCAAAAACACGAACGCAGCTCGACTGACCTTATCTGGCTAAGTGCTGCAGTAGTTCAGAAAATGTTGAAGCACAGTGTCTAGTAACTAATAAGAGGAGCAGAGAGGCAGACAAAGAAGGATTGCTCATCAAAAAAGCACTTTCTAAGCTTTAAGATAATGATTTGAAGCTCTCAAGAACTTCTGAATGTCGGGAAAGAATAAATTGGTGATACAAACAAAGATGCCAATGTAGGAGTGAAAAATTAAATAAGCCCTCGACGATTGCCTCATCTTCAATACATTTGTGAACGAGCGCTGACACACGAACTTATAGCAATTGCAGGTTTGAAAATTGCGGAAGAAGAAAAAGGACGCCATAATCATTACCATATCATCGCATCTTATAGTATTGGATTCTGGAGACCGAGCAGCGTCTACCATTCAGCGAGTATTTGACCTTTATATCAACATCACGAGGATTCTTCTTGTTTGGTGCCACGGTCATGCTCCCGACCAATGCCTCACCTTCACATATAGTCAGCACATCTTCCAAGTACAAGACTGTTTGCTTCCAATGCGTAGCCCGCGATCGAGGCCCTGCACATGGATGCAATGGATAAACAAGAGACTCCACAGAGCCACCTCAACATTTTATTACATCAATCATGCGGCCATTCATCGTGAAGCCACGTGGTGCGCCCGATGACTTGGTAGAAAATCCGCAAATTATTAACTATCATATACATTTCCACTCCAAGGTGTTTTATGTAACTCTTTTTTTCCCCATTGAATAAACAAAGGCCTGAATAAAAAACGTTCTTTAAAAGTCATCTTGAGAAAAGAAGGAAATGCATCAAAGCTTAGAAGTCATTTAATTTAAACAAACCCAATCTAAATCCAGGAAGCTAAAGAGATGCATAGCCAACCAAGGAAAAAGTACATACCGGTAGAGAAGCCTGTCAACTTATGACATTTGGTAAATGACACATCAAAGTATGCCACCAGAGCATGGATGTAATCGTCGCGTTCTGCCACCAGCTTAAATGGAGCTGTAAAGGAAGCATCTCCAGGACCCATCTTTGAAATATCCATTGTCTGGGAAAGGAAAGCAACCAATGTATGAAAAAATATCTTGTTAACATTGATGAGAAATGAATCGAGAGAAGAAATCCTACTATCTGATAACTGCTCAAGCCCATTGGGTCTTGGGCTGCAAGGCATCAATACTATAAATTCAATAACGTGCCAGGAATTCTCACCTTAAGTAGCTGGCATTGTGTAACAAGTTGATTCTGGTCAACTGTGTCAACAAGAGGTTCCATCATGGCTTGCTTCTTGATGCAACTCATGTCAAACCCATACACGTTGTTCCAAACTATAATTGCATAATAATGCCAAATCAGAGAAACATAAAAGTAGGGGTAGAGTAAACTGTTGGACGGGAAAAAGACTTTGCAAATTAAATTAAAAAGGTCCAATATTATTACAGTAATAGCAAGAAGCTAAACTCACATTCAATCTTGTCGTCTTTGTACTCAGCATCCTCTATGGCTGTTAAGTAGAGTGAAGCCTTATCAGGTAGAACGACTCCACCATTGACCTGTGAGGGAAGAAAGATGATGAGTGACAAATTGCGCATAGTCACGAACCCTTGGAAGAGCTATGCAAACACAACATAGCAACTAAAAGGCGAACTACTATAACAAAAGCCTAAAGAATAACACAAAAACATGGCAAGTTGGCAACTGGAGGTATTCTGACCAAACAAAGGCATTAAAGGAAAATAAAGGCAAAATTCGCAAGGCCTGCTGCGGAAATTTCAGTAAACGAGAGAATACTAATTTATCATTTAAGACAGGTATGTAACACCATTAGGAAGTCCAAGAATGAGCAGTGCATGCAACATTATGAATTTAATATTTTTTTTTTAATCAAAACAGACTTTTGTACATTTTGGTTTGTTGCTGCACCTTTGAACTAAGAATGGTGAATATATTTTTTGTGAAAGAGCAAGTCACCTCCACTTCACCAACTTCACACAAACAGAAAGAAACACCACGGCAATAAAACATGCTTAGAAGTTATGAACGACCAACCATGATTTTAGCCTGTTGCATTTCCTCATTAATACAATAGACCTGCAATCTCTCAACAAATAGTTTGGCCAAAGGAAGAAAAGGAAGTACCAAAATTTGCACAACAAATTTGATTAGGGGAGAATAACCCCTTGACACCTCATAGTGAATTTCTCATTACTTATAAAAAAAAATAATTAGGGGAAAATGACCCGGTTAGATGCTGAACTTGCTGGTATTTGAATCTCCATATTTCGCAGTTCACATGCAGTACTTTTCAAGCAGAATCATACAACAAAACATACTAAAAATTTCCAGTCTCTGAAAAGCATTTGCATCAAAAAGCAAGACAAGCAACTTACAAGCCATTTGTCACGAGCATACAGGACAGTATTCAACATGTTCTCAAACAACAAGAAATATCCCATCCATTCGGAAATGATTATGTCAACTTTTGCGACAGGAAGATCAATTTCTTCGACTTTCCCCTTCAAAACCGTTATAACTGCAAATAATGAAACAAACATGAATAAAGAAACAAAATTCAGTTGCAAAGATACTACAAGAATCCAAAGATACAAGATCAGACAAATCAAGAAATCTTACCATTAGAAAAACCATTCGATTCCACAATCTCCTTTGCCGTGTCAGCCATTTGGGAGCACTCAATCTAAAAAAAAAAGTAAAACAACAACATTCATCAAACTTACACACAGAGGGGCAACATTGAGATGAAATACAGCAGGGGCAGATTAGGAAGACAAGGATCAGGAAAAATTTAAACACACCGCGTAAACATGTTGCGCCCCGGCTTTGGCACAAAATAAGGACAGTATTCCAGTCCCAGCTCCCACATCAAGAACTACTTTGTTTTTAAATAGAAACTTGTTTTGGTAAATGACATTTTGATATGTCTTCGTTCTTACTATGTCCTTCAACATTTCCTGCAATGAAAGTATAGGCACAGTATGGTGTCATGAATATAGTCAAAAAGGACATGTTTAGCTCCTTATTGCTATAGAGATAGATGTCGATCTACTAAGTCAATTAAACAATGAAAATGTAAAAATTTGAGATCCCTTTTATAGATGTGAGAAGGGGAGGCAAACGTTTAGGAATCAAAACAGGACTTCTTGGGTCTTGGCAAGGTTGACCACCACAAGGACAATCCCTTGTTCCCAAAGTATGACACTTGCCTAGGATGACAATTCGAGATGGTGAAGACCCAAAAGCAGAGCAGAAGCATACAGAGGAGTTCAAAAATAGGTTGGTCTTCCCGAACAAGAACAAATATCCCACAGTACCAGACCACATCTCGTATTTTCGGAGAACTTTATGACATGCCATCAAACCTTACGACCTCACTTTCTGACTGAGCAAGCAATCAAGCATCTACCAAAATTATCAAAACCAAGCCGCCCTGTTCGACTCAGAACAGGCAATACCCAACACAACCATAACATAAAATTACTGCTTCCTACATTGACATCACAATGCAGCTGTTACTAGAATGTTTTACATGCCCTATTTCTGAAATCTTTCTTCCAAAACACTAGTCATTTGGCCAAAAACTAGAGCAATAGAATCGATGTAATTGTATAACGTAAAGTAAAAACCAAACCACCGGTAGACCAACTTCCCAGTAAGTTAGACGTCATTCACAAAAAGTACTAGCAGCAAAACACATCAAAACCAAATATGGAACTGCTCCGAATTCATATGCAGCCCACTTACTTCATGAATGCCTGCAACAAAAAAAAACACAGAAAAAGGAAAAAACGTAAGCTTCTGCAACAAATGCTAATCTAATGGAGCAATAAACCAAAGACAGAAGAACGAAAGCAACAAACTTTACTCGAGAAAAACGAAACTTCCGTCACGGAACCAAAATCAAAACCCCAACAAAGCTCAAGAACGACACCAACGGGACCAGAACCGTACCGAAATGGGAGTAAGAATCGAAGTAGTAATCGGCGCTGGTCTGATGGTCATCCCCATCATCGGGGAACGAGTCGTGGGCCTCGGAGGCGGAGGCGGAGGCGGAGGCGGAGGCGGAGGCGTCGACCGTCATGTCGGCGACGGTGGTGGACTCGTCGGGGTCGCACATGACCTCGTCGAGGTTGGAGCTCGCGGTGGCGTCTTCCTGGCCGCCGCCGCCGCCGCCGCCGTCCACCTCGCCCTCCTCGCCGTCGACCTTGAACCGGATCTTGGTGGGCTGCTGCTGGTGCTGATTCAAGCTCTGGTCGTCGCCGGTGGTGGTGGTGGCGGCGGGGTGGTTCTGGCTCTTGCGACGGCCCATGGCGGAGGGAGCGTGTGGAGGTAGGGAGGGGAAGGGGGAAGGGGAGACGACTAGGGATTTAGGGGAAGAAGCGAAAAGGAACGTTACGGCTTGCGAAGAGGGGTTTATGGTGCTTGCCTTGCATGAGCAGGTTCCTTTGTGGATCTAAATACTCATGAAATTATAAATTAAACAGTATATATATATATATGTATATATATATATATATACATATATATCATACCAGGATAAGTGCATTGAAAACCTTTAAACTCGTTGGTAATGTGTAATTGAATCTTAAAACTTATTGCGAAAGTTCAATCAAATACTAAAACTTTTCAAATTGATTCAATTAAGTCATTCCGCTGATTACACTTTTTGAATGTTTTAGGATTCCTCGATTGCACATCCGTGATAAGTTTTAGGACTTGATTGCACTTTCGTAACAAGTTTTAAGATTTGATTGCGATTTTTGAAAGTTTTGGAATTCAATTGCACTTTTCGTAATTAGTTTTATGACTTCTAATAAACTTATCATATGCATACATGTTACAAGTTCAAACTTTCTAGAAAAGGCAAGTATGGTTAATGTTCCAAAAGTCAGATGATTAAACTAGAATATTCGTCAATAGGCACGCAACCCTACTGGTAAAAGGATTAGAAGATAGAACAAAAGTCTGAAAGTGAAGAGAGTTAAAGATAGGACAGATAAAAGAAAATAGAGTATTCGAAAAGTTGCCATCATCATTTGTCTAGAAAATATGATTTAGCAATGATATTATATCATAATCCATAACAACATTCTACATTTCTTTTTTAGGAAATATCTAAGGGTTGACATTCTATTTTACGTACCAATCCCGTAAACAGTCCGGGCCGCTGGATTTGACATCAAAAAATCTTGTCCGTCGAATCAATTTTGAAATGTATCACCAAGTTCCTTTTATATTGGTGAACTACTGATATTTAAAGTGCGGTGATAAATGCAATTGAGTCTTAAAACTTATCGCGAAAGTGCAACTAGATCTCAAAATTTTCAAAAAGCGCAATCAAGTCCTTCCATTTACTCCGTCTAACTTGACACACAGAAAACGCTTACAAGTTTTAGGATTTGATCCCACCAACTTGACAAGTTTTAAAACTTTCATGACAAGTTTTAGGATCAACTGCAGTTATCCCTAAAGTCTCTTACTAACCATTCGGATGTTGAAAACTTACTACAACCAAGGATAGTTACTTAGAAATTTCTAACAAGATGTAATGCAGCAAAATACCTTATAGAATCGCGGATGGCAAATAAAGTACGTGAATCACACTTTTGTGTTCATAAAATAAGTTTCAGTGTTTTAAATTATCATTTGGTTCCCAATTTCTTTTTGCAAATGCAACAATTGTCCTACAGGTCATACGGTAGACGGGACCAAACAATTGAATGGGGCAGAGGCCGGTTCATATCTCGCATAGTTCCAGCAACAAAAGCAAAGAGACATTATCACTGTACTGGCTATTGCAAGCTCTGCAGACTTTAGTCGGGACAAAGAAACGCAACATCCGACCGGAGCAGTCATTTACGTCTACAAGAGAAACAAATCCTGTCTTAACAACGAGGCGCAAGCGTGCATAAAGGTCGCTGCGCTAAACAAGCAGTATGTCATCCAATTCATCTGCAGGACCATCGTAGCTCGGCACATATCACTGCCCTTTATTCCCTTGAACTCGAAGGGCGCAAAGCCATGCTTCGAGCACAGAGCGGACTAGCTTTTGAAAGTGTTCTCGCCGTTTTCGAGGTGAATGGAGGATTTGCTAGGAGGCCATGGTGCTCCTGACATCACGGCTTCAATCTCCCATGTTTGGCGAGGGACGTTAGTCATGTTCTTGCAACCAGTTGCGGTAACAAGCTATAGAAAAGAAAATGAGAATGTAAGTTTTAAGTCAAAGCAAACGTAGAAAGACTAAAACAGTGCTTGCCAGCTGCTCTGATCTATGATCAGTCATACATGCTGCACTTAGGATTTAGTCGTCACATTCTAATAGTCTGCTTATCATTCAGCTATTTGGACCCGACTTTTTAACATCGTAGTCATGCGTAGACTGATCGGAAAGCATATAGAGGAGCAGTAGAAAACCTACAACTGGATTATCGATGGATAAAAGGGATAACAGAGAGATGCAGCACGTTTCTATAGTATATCTACGAAGTAGATTAAATTTTCACATTCCAGATGAAGGGGAAGAAACCAATTGAAAAAGATAAACATTTGCCACTAAGAAAATTGGATAGCACAATGATATTCATATCGACTGTCAGCTGACGACTCCAATTGAAAGCAGCACTATGATGTAGAGTGTGTATATCCAATAAGTATTTATCCATAGTCAAGGTATATAAAGAGAGATTAGAAAATGTAGTACCACATCGCTTTCAATTCTCACTCCACCAAACGTTCTGAATCTTCCAATTACATCATGATTGAAGAACTTTGATTTGTTTGAGCTTTCGATTGCCGGATCCAATAAAGCATCAATAAAGTAGCATCCAGGCTCCACCGTTATCACCTGAATCAAGGTCCCATCGCTGATTATGCATAGATAATATGCTAACTAAACAAATAAAGCAAAACACCTTGTGAATTCAGTGCACTAAGAACAGAGAACATGTACTCTCAAGGTCTCATCGCCCCAATATTGTTCAACCAAATCGTGATGCTAAGACTTACAGCAGAGAGGACTAATACTAACCATTCCTTCCTGGAGTTCTCTGACTGTTCGCAATGAACTCAATCCAGGTTCTTTTGGTCTCTCCAATCCCTGGTGTTCATGGAGATTCTTAGGATCCCAATTGCCGAAGATCAGAACCAGCAAAGAAAATAAACAAGAAATTGACTGTTTTAAGTCTAAAGACCTGCAGGTAGCCGCCGGGATCATGAGTATCAATACCCAGCAGATGTCCCAGCCCATGGGGCATAAAAACTGCTCCCAAACGCTCAACCATCATATGATCCAGATCACTGAAATCAACAAAAAACAGACAAGCATTAGTTCATGGAGACAGGACTTGGGGAAGACAACATATCCTTGAGAAGCAGTTACCCAGATATGATGCTTCCTTCCCTCAATGACTGGAGAATAGTCCTCTCTGCCAATCTGCAACCAGATGGAGCAAATGGAATTACATGACAGGTGCAAGCTTGGAGGGGTAAGACACATACAGCGTAGGCTAGAATTTCTCAGCAGCAGTGGGTTACTCTAAGAAATTTGTTACAATTTAATTAGACTTGTGATACTGCAATCAGCCATCAACAATCACCAGCTGTCCCTTCACTTCAGAAGCAACAGCAAACACAGGGGACTGCATCTATGCTAGAATCAACACGATGAGCCTTGACTAAGAACTGTTAAACCTCTAAAGATGAAATTCAATAGCAAGAAAGAGCGGAGGGGAGAGTTGCTCTTCTCTGGAAATATAGCAAAGTCAAATTCCACAAAGCATAAAAATCTCAAGATAATCATTTAATAAGTTTGCCAAAGCATCCACTGAGAATACATTAAAGTCATAAAGCAACTTTATCACAGTAAACTATATCCAGATATAAAAAGAAAAAATTGCCGTTTAAAATAACTAAATTGCCACTGCCAATTTGTAGTTGAGAGTTCCACTCAGTATATATGAACAATGTGATGCTAGAACATAGAAGACTCTTTGTTTAAGCATCCCTGAACGATAGAAGAAGAATTTTTCTTGATAATTACTCAAATTCAAAAGCCATTTAGTAAAACTTTGCAAACTTTTGCCATCCACTCTTACTTGTGCATATCTACCCAGCTAACTCCAGGTTTCATAGCAGCAATCACCACATCATGTGCTTGAAGCACTGCCTGAGAAAGCAACGAAAAGATCAAAACTTGATATGATCAGGCTTTAGAGACTGGAAATAAACGTTTGATTAGCAAAAGTGGCCCACCATTCTCTCTACCCATACATCCAGACAACCCAGTTTATAGTTTCCACTGCAACTGCAGTTGCCTTTGTTCATAGCTAATTTCTACTGTAACTTCAGTTGGCTTTGTTCATAGTCGATTTAAGGTAAGCAACTTACATTGTATATTAGACTCTGATCACTTGTAAACTTGCCATTTACCTGCACAAATGAAGTTGATTGTAAGAGGGGATAATTGTAGATCTGACCCAAAAATAAGGCAATCGATCTTGTAAACTCCGCATCCTTCTAAAGCCAAGGAGATCTCTGTCGTCTCTACCAATAATTATCCACAACGACCACCTATTGACCGAAGAGATAGGATATACATTCATAAAACATGACTGAGACATTATGAATTTATGAAATAGCCAATAACTGCTTGTTTGAATCATGGAGAGCCTTTTTACTACGCCATCATAATGACATGGATCAGTGTAACAATAGCTTCAGGAATAAGCAGGCCTTAACCATGAAAAAGGTACTTGACATTTTATTTTATTTTTTTTGCTTTTTTACCTTGTCCATGATAAGTCATCAAACTTTCTTTCCCTTTGAATAAAATTGGGTAAATCCATGGCAGAATGTAAATATAAGTTCAAGGAAAACAGAAAACCAGAAATAAACTGCAAAGAATAAATTGCAATCCGATAGGGAGAAATATTAGGAGAATCAAGATCCCCTGTCAACCCGACAAAAGCACGAGAACCAGAAACTCACTGGGAATGAACAGGTAATATCAGATCCATAAAATTGATATTCAGCTCCCATATCAAACAATGCCATATCCCCATCCTCCAAAGTCTGCAAATAAATCCACAATTAGTAGAATTTACCAGCTTTATTTAGCTTCACGAATCTCATAATAAAATTAAATAAAAGCCATTTATTTATCTGTCATGAATCTGATAATAAAAATCAAACAAAAGCTGAAAGGAAAAAATTGGACATGTCCTGTGGGTCAGACCAAATTGGCCACATTGACTTTTGTTTAATTACGACAATAGACAGTCTAAGCTTTAAGCTAAATCAGTTTCATGATCAAGACTTAGCTTAAAATTCTGATTAGTAGCAGTATCCCAGACTAAGTGCAGTTATATGGGCAGATTTACATCTGGAAGCACTGATGAGTTTCATGTAATGGCAACAAAATCAAGATTCCAACATATTGGCAAGTTTTCTACAAAAATTTACTCGACTTAGTCCACCACGCATAAATCAGCTGCAGAATGAATTTATGCTTCTTACTCATCTTTTCCTTTCCCAAAAGCCAAGTGTACGCAAGAGGTCCATATATATATATCAAGAAATCATGATAGCCTAAGCTTACAAAAGCATGTGCATTCGCATGAATGCATGCTACTTTACACAAGCAAACATCCTCTGCCTAGAGCAATGCCCACTTTAGGTTAGGCATTTTACCCCAAGAAATGAAAATTAACAATTTCAGGAGATGGAGGCTTGAAACTTACCCGGTCATTTGGAGCAGCTGCATGCCCATAGTGGAGAACAGCACTAAAATACATGGAAGAAATTATTGTTACTTCATACTGGCAATATCATAAGCAGTCTAATCACAGAGAAAAAGGAAATGCAACCTTCCGCTATTTCAGACAAAAAAAAATACTAATCTGTTGCTCGAGTTATACTCTCTCTATTCCAGAGACGCGGACCATCAAAATATCAGTAGTATGCCAAAGAGAGATTGAGGAATCGCAGTAAATCACAAGTTGAAACAAAGTCGGCATTTCTTGCAAATATACTTCATAATCAAATGAGCCACTCACACTGTAGAACATTCTGTATTCAAAGAGACAAAACGGTTCAACACAGGGAAAATTCATGGAAAAGAACTTTTATCTATTGAATAATTCTCTGCATATTCAGTAACTGAAATAATTTATCAATATAGGAATGTAAGTCCTATAATTGTGAGAAAAATCCAATTCCACAAATGCAGTGAGCAAACCAATCAACTCAAGTCAGCACTACTTACGTGCCAATAACACATTCTCCTTCAAAGATTCTATAACTGTTTTAACTTGTTCAAGATCATAGTGGAGCTCTCATATTTTCAAGATACCAATGGATTTTAAATGCTTACTATGTCTTCCATACAATCATCTTTACCCATAAGAACTCTCTATTATATCCGCCCTGGGGTTTTGTTGCGTTGGGGGAGGGATAGGGGGAGGGAGAGACAGTTCTCTCTTATTTATTGTCCCCTGTAAATGAGTTAAACTAGTTGAACAAAGTCCACTTAGCCCATCCAATGGGCCAGAAGGTCCAGAACATATGAACCCAATTCCTTACAGCACGTCTTTCAAAGTTCTCTTCCTATAATTGTTGCGGAAATTCCTTCAAGGAATTTGAGGTTCTGCTCTTACACCAGATCTTTCATATGCACATGCCAGAAGAACAAAACTGACTTTTTGTATCCTAAATCTCACCTATTTCCACCAGTGGCACAAATACACGTGTATGAGCAGTGGCGGCACCCACCATACATATATGTGTGATGAAGAAACATGCTTTCTAATTGGTACTCTTTCATGCCAACCCTAATCTTCCTCATTACCTGAACAAAAGAACAACAGACACAATTAAGTCGCAAAAAGAAGAACGCACAATAGACTAAATGAATAATGACTCAACAAGCTAATGATAGGAGAGAATGCTCCATAAAACTCAAATAAAGAAGAAACAGATTATTGCATTTCCAACCTTGACGTTTGACTAGATAGCGTTTGTGATCGAAAGTTGCTCCCAAAATTGTGATAATGCCAGACAGGTCAAATTTTTTTGAAGGCAGACATCAACATCTTCCCCAAAAAACCAATAAAAGAACCATGACTTACTTTTTTTTGTTCTGTAATATTTATATTTTACAAATTCTTCATTATGCTGACATGGAAAGAAATATACAACATATTGACAATAGCTCCTCTACTTATATTTGGCTAGATAAGTAGTCGGCACTGTTCAAGAGAACATCTCTACAGGACGCATTTAAATAGATTGCTATACATCCAAAAACAGATAGATTTCGGATAGAATCAATTTTGTAACAATGTCAACCAACTGAATTATCCCATCATCATACTTCATAAATGAATTTCCCCAAGAGGTCTCAAGTGCATACATCTCTTTAGATATATACATGTTCTTTCTTGGCCAATAAATGTACAAATGTAAAAGTCCACTAAATTGTCAGTAGTAATTTGATCATACAAAATGTTGGACCAAAATAGGTGAAAGAAAGTAAGTGACAGTAAAGCTCAATCAAAACAAGCAAAAACAGAGTTTCTTAAGTATTGTTTTTTCCTCCCCTCAATCCACTGCAGTAGATTGGCGATAACTTATAATATGCCCAAATGTTCATCGACTATAAATGTATACTTTCATATACTCATCCAAAAGAGGAATTATTCTAGGATGATTAGAGGATTTCATGATCATATTGTTTGACAAACAATTACCTCAACATGAGCTTCGGAGCTTATATCATTGGCAAACTGAATTACAGCAAGCTCCAAATCAGACTTTGTAACACGACATTCAGTCAATATAGGATGTAGCGTAGTCAAGTCCGTCGCGAAGTTTTCCACTCCCTATCAAGAAGTCAAAGGAATGTCCAAAAGTTGACAAATCAATGAAATTGGAACTGAGAAAGACTTAGAACAATGCTATGCAAAGACTAGGACCATCATTATGCTACCAGACATAATAAATGCAATTGTAACTGGAAACTAGTTTCGGAGAAGCAAAGAAAACAGAAGAAGAAATAACCTCGAACTCAGCTGGTTTTGCATAATTGTTACTATCAGTGTTAAGCCCATGCAAGAGAAACAATAAAGGTTTTCCCTGTCCTTGGAACTGCTCATGGAGAACTTTTACAATATCATCAGTATAAAACACCTCGTTGACCATGTATTTTTCCTACAGAGCAGAAACTGTAAGCCATTAGCCAAATCATTCCTGATTCACATGGACAAGTGGACTAGCAGATAAGGCAGTCACCTCGAAGAATGACAAAGGCTTTATTTCTCCCAGCCATACAGCATACTCTGAGGGTAGCCTAGGAGCAAAAAGCAGAGAGTTTCCACTCATAATATCCTTCAAAAGAATTTGTAATTAACATCAAACTCAAAGTCTTTATAAGTCATTCTTCTCCAGCAGCACATCCAAACAACTATCAATTCTGATGTTCCACCGGCTAAGAACATGGACCATGCGAAGACAAGCATGCAGACAACGAAGAATTGTGCTCATAGCAGAAATCGGTACTTTAAAGAAGTGAGCAAGCACCACCAAACCAAAAAAAGCTTGAAAATGAAAAAACAGAAGATACACAGCAAATATCTGTAGAAACAAAGGAATAACAGATGAAAATAGAACAATTATAGAAAACAGTAATGATGAAGGATCATGCATCAGAAATAGTTAAACAAGGCCAATCATCACATTTTGAACTAAATCAAATTGCTCTTCAATGTATTGCTGCTAAAGCAAGACAGTGGTGTAATGAATTGATCACCAACATGACTATATATATAACTCAACCACTAATGAGTGTCTTCCAGACTAGCAAGATTATGAATCATCTCAATTCTTACAGAAATCAGAATCAAAGCTCTCATCTTATGAACAGATTGGACGAAAAGGACCCCATGAGTTATGGAGCCCAAACTTCATTCTCGAGAGTCGAGAAATCGATAAGTAATCATACTAGTAAGTATTCCAAAGGTAAAGCAATTGTCATTGATCCATGTTGCATTCATGATCATAATTAAATAAATAAAGACCAGCTGTCATGAGGTTGCGTTCGACTCACCAAAACAAGGTGGTAAAACCCTGTAAGCCATGACAAATGCGTGCCTGGTGATATTTGTACATAGAATAAGAGAACAACAATCGAGCCCTTTTCCACCTATTGATGTTGGCTACAACAACCCTAGACGTCATTATACCCTATCAACAGCGAATTCCGAGTCAAGGTCCTATTTAAAGTTCTCCAATCCTTCTAACTCGTACTCCGTCAATAAATTACATCTACTTGCGAAATACCTAACGGCCATTAGTTTATATGTCCAAACCTCTCATACACGCACGCACCGGAGATTTGCTGGAACAAGTCAATCGGCGTTTATGAGTTCTCCAACAAGCGCAACAGAAAAGGAACAGGTGGCATTTTCACATTCGCAATTAGGTACATCGTAGCATTGTCAATCGACATAACTACATCCTACAGAACTGCAAGCACCTTGACAGTGTATGATTCATTTGCGAGCTAGAAAGCAATTGACAGGGCAACAACAGAAACAGATAACACAATTTCCATCCCATCTACAGAAAAGGAAAAGGGTTGTTAAAAAAAATCAGGGAACTCACAATGGCTCCAAAAAATCCAGGCTCTGTTACTCCAAATAAATAAGCAAAATAACTCTCCTGCCTGAAAAATCAATTCAGCCACCAGTCAGGTTAAACAATCATGATCCAAAACATCAAACGCTGCGGTGTTTAGCGAACCCGAAAGACCATTTCTAATCAAACCTGGAGAACAGTAAGATGACAGACACAAACTTAAGCGATGAATCGCAAATGATTGAGAAAAAAGTAATCTTTGCCAAATAATTTTGCGACGGCGAATAATTTACCTCCTAAGCCAACCAAATTGCACTCACAATCACGCACCTGAACAGCTCGGTGTGATCGGTGTCGTGGCGCGTTTGCTCCTCCCCTCCCTTCCCACGAGCGGATGAAGCGCAACACAAGAGAGGAAAAAGAGAGGCCCGAAATCAAACCGAGATTACACCCAAAAAAAAACAGAGCATTGCAGATATCGGAGAATCGGTATGCGCGCGGCGCGGGGGACTCGACGGTCGACACCTGAAGGAAGACGAAGCCGTGGAGAGGACGGCCGGAGTCGCCGAGGCTCCGGCGGAGCGACTCCAGGAGCTTGCCGCGGTTCCGCGCGTGGAGCTCCATCGGAACCGGAGGCGGCGACAGGGACGACGGCGAGGATGGCGCCGGCGCGGCGGCGGGCGCCATGGGAGCGAGCGGAGCGGCTTTCCCTCTCGATCGGAGCCGGGACGCGAAAACGGCCGCACCGGAGAGAGAGAGACAGAGAGACGGCTGCCCCCCCGTGAACAAAATGTGGCCGGAAAATAGTAATAGACGACGAGGGAAATTTATAGAGAGGACGCGACATTTTTTGATAAGTGACAACGTTAGAGGATTCGATACCTTTGACTTTTCACTATATGAGAGCATAGGAATCGGGAATCATTACCGGAACGAAAAGGCGCGTATCTATCTAAGCAATAAAGTGTTTCTTTTAAATTATGAATCCATCTTATCGCTAAAAATCACGGTTCAGTCACGACGTTCAGTCACGCCTTGTAAGTTCCGGATAAACTATTTCTCGATACAATTTATTTTGGATTTGTTAAAATTTCGTGTACCGATTCTCGAATACCTACTACGGTAGAATACCCATTCGGTATTTCTTCTGAAATTCTGCGCGATTCCTTCAACCTCCTCAAGCCCGATCGCTCAATTTTAGCACTCATCAGGTGCATTTTTCTCCAGCTCAGGCTTAAATATTTAATAGTATGGTTAATACCACGAAAAACCCCAAACTGGTATACCTGTGACAAAATTACTCAAAAATAATTTTTTTATCATAAAAAACCCAAAACCGGTACATCTGTGATAATTTTACCTTTCATTAGTTTCCATTAAAATTTACTGTCAGATTACCAAATTAAATGGCACGTAGCAGTTGACAGATATACCAGTTTGGGGTTTTACCTTCATTTGTCACAAGTATACTAGTTTGTGATTTTTTTTTGTATTAATCAAATTTAACGAAAGGTAAATTTATCACACATGTACCAGTTTTAGGTTTTTGGTGATAAATTTTAGGATTTTTGGTGGTTAAAATATTAATTTTGGGTAAATTTATCACAAATTTACCGATTTAGGGTTTTTTGTGGTATTAACACTCAATAGTATTATTCATTTATAGTAATTGTAGTAAATAAATATGAAAAATGTTAGAGGATTCGACGGCGCACTCTAAGCGAGGAACCTTGACTTTTCACTGTATAAGACCATAACGTAAAGTAAAGAGGAACCGGGAATCATTAACGGAATGAAAAAAGTGCGTACCTATATAACCAACAAAGTTAGGTTACGAACGTTTCTTCAAAAGCCAGGAATCCATCTAATTGCTAAAATCACGGTTCGGTTAGGCCTTGCAAGTTAGAGAGGATCAATAAGTAACAGGATTCGATAGCGCACTCCAAGTGAGGCATCGTGACTTTTCACTATTTAAGAGCATATGGTAAAAGCAAAGAGGGGTCGGGAATCATTAGCAAAATGAAGAGTACCTATCCAAGCAAAAAATTTAGGTTATGAATGTTTCTTTAAGCCAAGAATCCATCTAATCGCTAAAATCGCAATTCAGTTACGTTTTTGCAAATTCCGTATAAATTATTTCTCGATACAGCTTCTTTCAAAATTTATAAAAAAAAAAGAAGAAGATAAATGCGCATGAGAAGGAACAGAGTGACGACGTTAGAGGATTTGATAGCGCACCCGAAGCTCGACTTTTCGCTATAAGAACATAACGTAAAGCTAAGAGGGACCGGGGAATCATTAAATGAATGAAAAATGCTCACTATCGGAGCAGCAAAAGTCAAATTAAAAAACTTTCTTTTAGCGAGGAATCGAACTAATCGCTGCAATCACGTGTTGTGAGTTTCAAATAGATTACTTCTCGATACAATTTCTTTTAAATTTATTAAAATTTCATGTACCGATTCTCAAATACTTGCTATTGGGCACGTTTTTCCCCCGGCCAGGCTCAAAATTTCATGTCGGGACAGGTAGCATGGAAACTCGACCCGTCCATTGACACCCCTAGGGATTGTTAGAACCTAGCTTTGGACTTTTGTTTTTTTTTTCCTAAACACTCTAGAATCTTGTCAGCCATCAGTTCTACGATAAAGATGTATTGGATATACCCAGATCATGCGAACCCAGCTTAGATCACCGGTTAGATCAAGTGGGTTCCATTTGGGGCCCACTTCTTTCAACTGTACATATGAAATGGGCACGCATGCACAAGGTGCATATGAGATTCTTTACAAAACTCAATGTGCGCTGAAAGTATGAGATATGGTGACTATTTTGTGCTGTATCGGTGCCTATTTTGTGCCGTATCGGTGCTTTCTTTGTGCCGTTCGCCCAGGCCTCTCCGAGCGGTCACCGGTGGCCGGCCACTACGCCAGTGAAGAGAAAAGTAAAACCCAGAAAGAAAAGAAAAACCAGGAAAAGGAAAGAAGAAAGAAAAATAAAATAATTTAAAATTAGAAAAGTCTTTTGACAAAAATGCCCTCGAGGCGGGAACCCCAGCTGAGGTGACGATGAGGAGGGGCAAGGGAAAGGAGAATCTCCCAGTCCAAGGTTAGTATTGTTTTTTTTTTTTCTTGATTTGGAGGCTAGGTAAATTACTTTCTTCTCTTGATTCGATCCAGGTGAACACACTGGCCACATTTTGGGAATACGGCTACCACATTGGGTCATCATTCTCATCGTGCTTGGAGCAGTGGACATTCTTGCCGTGGCGGTCGTGCTGGCCATATATTGCTATGGCAAGCATCCCTTCCCGATAAGAGTTCGTGAGAGGGGACTCAAGTGTGCACATTGGAGATGCACCGCGACATTATGCTTTTGTGTCGTATCGGTGCCTATTTTGTGCCGTATCCGTGCTTTTCTTGTGTCATATCCGTGCCTATTTTGTGCCGTATCCGTGCCAATTATAAAAAAAATAATAATAAAAAAATGTCACATAGATTTTCTGTCCATTAAAAGTGGACAGAGCCAAGGGAGGACTAGCCGGCCGCTGGCGAGGCGATCATCGCCCAGCCCTCTCCGGGCAGTTGCCGGTGAAGAAAAAAGTAAAACCCAGAAAAAAAAAACCAGAAAGAGGAAAGAAGAAAGAAAAATAAAATAATTTAAAATCAGAAAAGTCTTTTGACGAAAATGCCCTTGAGGCGGGAACTAATGACAACTCATTGGTTGAGCTTACCTTTACAAAGAGTCTGAGAGTCCTTTTTAGGCGATACCGCACAACAATTGTCATCAACAATTAGCGCGAAATTTTATATCTTACGTAAACTTAATCCTGAACTTTTTATCAAGCAAATGTCAGGAATTAGCTGTGATAGTTTCTTTAATTCTAGAGATGCTTGAGCTTAGGAATACATAGTTCTGGATCAAATTATTTATGCTTATTTATATTTTTTTATTATGACGTTAAAAGGGATAAAATGTGTAAATTTCTTAAAGATTATTTTAGGTATTTATCTTAATATTCTTTATAATTCAGATCTATCTATCACCTGAAACTTTTTATGCATTTATGTTGTTTCTGCTTTCAGTATGTTGACTGGGATTCTAGAAAGGACACACTTCTACCATCGTAACATTTCACCTCAGGGGTGTTATCTTTTGAAAGTAAGTTTCTTGGCTGTGTCATGTATGTATACCATAAGACTTGATTCTGATTTTTAGGTTATATCAGCAATGGCTCTCTTTTCCCAAATAAGCTGTGGAAATGACTTTTCCATAGTAGAGGATTAGTGCATCACTTTAGTCAATTTTTTTTTCACCTTTTCGAATTCACACCGTACATTGCAGTTGTCAGCATGCATCCTGTACATAGAATAAATTTGAGTCCAATTCAAGAGATATAGCAAATGGGTGATCTGTTAATTGAAAATATTTTAAATGGCATCGGTTGGTGCAATTTGGCAGAATGCCGACCTGCACCTTTATCACTGTAATATTGTCGCTTGGCTCTTGCTGCATTGAACTTGTCTAACACCGGCTTGGTCATCTGATTTATTAATCATGATATGATCGAATCATTTAGAGAGGAAAAATGAATAAAAAACTTTGTGCTTTGGAGTGGTTGGGCTGTTGGATAGGAGTCCCATTAATGTTTCTGCAAAAGGCACTAGGAGACTTCATTTTCCTGGAAATTGTTTCCTGGAATTAATCATAGAGTTTTCCCCAAAATAAATACACCAAAAAATAAACACACCCCAGTTCCATTAAAATCCTCAGTTCTTCACTCACTCACTCTCTCTCTCTCAGCCATGGCCTCCCTGCTGCTTGTTTTCGCCCTCGCCCTCGCCGTCTCCGTCCCCGGCCCCGCCGTCTCCGCCCCTGGCCTGCCCCCGCCGTCTCCGCTCCCGCCGTGTCCGCCCCCGCCTACTCCGGCTCCCTCCTCTACACCTACACCGCGGCAATGGTGGCGGGAACCCCGGATGAGGTGATGCCGCAGGGAAGCGGGGGAGAGGAGAATCACCCCGGCCAAGGTTAGTTTTTTTTTTTTCTTGATTTGGAGGTGTAGAATAATCTCTCAGTTAATTTTTTCTCTTGATTCGATGTAGGTGATTACGGCCACATTTTGGGAATGAGACTGCCACATTGGGTCATCATTCTCATAGTGCTTGCAGCCGTGGCGATTCTCGCTGCGGGGGTCGTGCTTGCCATATATTGCTATGTCAGCAATAAGATTCAGGAAGGGAGACTTGAGCGTGCACATTGGCGATGCACCTGGACCTCGAGACGCACCGTGACAGATATACTTGCATGCCTACATTTTCTAAGGTTGGACGTTTTTTTTTTTTTTTGGTCGAATAAGGTTGTACGTTGATGTGAGAGACTTCATAGGACTTTTCTTCTGAATATTTTATTTGTGGAGCAAAATGCATGTAATACACATTATAGTATTACTTTGATCACTGTTATCCAAAAAGAACGAATGATCAAAGTATCTTTCCTATGTTTGAAATCGGTTTTCGGTCGCCGATCGGACTGACGGATCTATATATATGTCCCTTTCCCAACTTATCAGCCATGTTTTGTATTTCTCGATGATCGAATTGGCACCAATGCAAAAGGATTATGACTGAATTGTCACAAATGCAAAATGTTTAGGACTGAATTGACACAAAAAAAAGGTTTAAGACTAAATTGGCATAAATGCAAAAGGTTTAGGACTAAATTGGCACCAAAAAAAGGTTTAGGACTAAATTAGCATCAATGCAAAAGGTTTAGGACTTTTTTGACACTTTTCCCAAGAATGTAGGACAAATCAAAATAATTTTTTTATCGTATTTTTATCTAAGATTACAGTGTGGTTCAAATATAATTAGACGTATGTAAATGGATAATGATTTAATTAAAGTAATATG